GACAGGGTCCATAATTCAACCCCCTTATTTGGTCAGGCATGGTCTACCATATAATTCAGTATTACAACTAGGTGGGGGTGAGAAAGGCTAGATGACGAATCTGTGTCAACAAGGGGCCCATCTGCCCCATTTCTCGGCTTCTCCATGTCATTTTCTTGCTTCTTCTTCAACTCCACACAATTCCAATGCTTGCAACCTGCTTGTCCATACTCGAAGCATGCCCCTGAGAATTCTCAAGGTTGTAGATTGTATACTGCATTTAACATTGCGCATGAAATCCGTCTCCGACAGTGCACAGCCTCATTGCATGTCCGCCAATTCAGCAATCTCATTGGCTTTGTCCATGTTTTGAGTCCGAAAGAAAGGAGCCTCGTATTTGACCCCTGGTTTTATCCCTCAGATGTATCGGCCAAGCTTCTACGCTTCACCCAGATCGTTGATTTGGACACAAAGGGCTTGGATGGCTGACGTGTAGAAGCCACTGCTTTAAAGCCTGCCCGGCAGGTTGCGTTAATTGTACTGTTCAGGTAGGTGGGGTGGCTGAATCTGATTTGGTCGACGAATTATTATTGAAACAAATTATTTTGGCGAAGGGGAGGCTTTGCAGAGTCATCGTTGGTTCGCGCAAGCTAACGGGGCTGTAAACTTGGCAAGGCTGATGGAGAACCACCCCCCCAGCTCTGCCAAGTGACAGGTGACAGGTTGGTTGTTCGCATCACAACCAGCACCTCGTCTTGACCGGTTTCGAAGAAAAAAAAAAATCAGATGCGGTTTGGCGCGCTCTACAGTTCGATAATATGCGACGCAAAAATTTCGAAGCACACAACTCTTTCGTGATTCCCGCCCAAACTACGAGTACAATATTAGGTTTCTACCCCCCATACAACTCCTCCCATTTCTCCCCTCGAAGAACTTGGCAGGTTGGCACTGCCAAGTTCCGAGAGCTCCCTAGCCCTGCCAAGTTGGAAACCCTTCGCGAGCATTTGGCAGTTTGATGCAAGCTGCTCGGTTTCGGGGACATCAAGGTGCGGAATCTTTAGAAAAGGGGGCTTGCAACCTGCCGGTCGGGCTTTAAGGTGTACAGCTAGTCATGTGCACAGTTCGAGGCTGGTATTCCTCCGAGCCGAGCCTTGAGTGATGTGCTTCATGCTTGCCATGCGTGAATGGTGATCATGCAAAAAATCGCAGCAACCGTTTAGTTAGAAGAAGTTGTTGTCCCACCCCTAGCTTGCGATTGCCGTGCCAGAGTCCCTGCTTCCAACAATTGTCACCATCAATCAAGAGCTGCATACATAACATCGACACTGCCAATTCGATGCGTGCATATCAATTGCCACACCGCGAGGCTGAAGCCACCCCATCATTATAGTATTTCGGTCGTTCTTATTAAATTCATGGGGTATTGGTAGCTTGATCTTCACAACAATTGCACATCGTGAGCACATCGTGAGGTCATCTAGGATGGTTGACTTTGCAACGTCTGATGTGGCATTTGCAGCTTCGTTATGTGCACATGCCTTCACCTAAGGCGACTCTTGGTGCACGCCTTCCATGGCCTGACGAAGATATTTATTCTCCAATTTCAGCCGCCCAAGTCCCACTTGGACAACAGTCATGTGCAATGCAAAACTTTTGAAATATTGCATCATCACATCATATTATGTATGCTCCATGTTGCGCATGTTTCAATACTTTATTGCTAGCAGTAGGCATAGATGTGCCCAAAACAAAAAAGAAATGTAGTGCACACTCGGATTTCCATCAGACGAGTTCGAATTTCCATAACGAACTGGTTCGTACATGAAACAATTCGTTTCATTAGGATCTGAGGCACCCTGAGGTCGTCTATCAGCAGCAAGATGAATCGCATGTTTTGATTTAAGGATACTCTGACGCTTTAATGACACGATGCACAACAGAAACTGCAGTCTTAGGAGTACAAAAGTACAACTTTAGAGGAAGAGTCAAGTTTGGGATGGTTCCAGCAAAAAAAAAAAAAAAAAAAAAAAAAAAAAAAAAAAAAAAGCCAAGAGTGGAGGTTTAGGTTGGCGAAACACTGCCACACAATCTTCAAACATGAAGACTCTCGAAATCGCCCATCAAATGACACACATCAAGTGAGATGTAACAGTGTACAAATTTGTATTACAATTCTCATTATTCTTGGTGTTTACTTATAATCCTTAGGTCTTGAGTTCCTGAGCTCATAGCATTCACTAACATGTAGCAATTTCATACTACAAGTCAACACCTGCCATGTCATCTCCTAGCCAGAAAATGTGGTGACTGTGGAGTTGCCGTTGGTCCCGGTCATGGCAGCAATGTATAGTCAAGGTGTCAGGCTATCATAGGCTAATGACAGCTCATGTATCATAGGCACGCCCTGAAGGAAAACCACAAAACGAGGAAAGGAGGGGGGTTGGGGGAGCTAAACGATGCACGGGAAGCAGGCCTTTCATAGGCGAACTCATAGAGAAGAAGACAGGGGTGGGTGGAGAGGGTTCAAGGGCACGCTGCTACTCTGCCTGACTCTCATAGACCCACCACCTGGGAGAGTGGGGGGGGAATATTCGAAGAATGGGGATAAAAGGGCACTAGGGGATGGTAGGCAGAGGACAGAGAGTGGTATGATGGTCTATGAGGGGTTTATACGAAGGAGTCTGCATAGAACTCTAAGAAATGAATTTAGTATTATCAGCAAGAGAAGATACAGGGGAAGATTAATAGAAACAACGTGCATTTCTCGAAGGAATTAGTCTGACCAACCACATCGCCGGGCGGAGTGTCACATGAAACAACCATGTCCGTGCTCCACAAGTACAACCACCAACCGCCACTGAATAGGTATGAGCGGCACGGAATCCTTCTTAGGCATGGAAGCACCATCGACAGCAATGTGTCTTGATCTTGTAATGAGGATCTTCTTCATATTGGCTGAATTTAGTAGAGAAACAGAAGAGCAGTGACAGCGATTCCACCTGCTGCTTTTCTGATAGGCAGGATGGCCCACACTGACTTAGGGTTCTTTGTCCAGAGGAACAACGGTGGAAGTTGGAATGAAAGGAATCGTGACTACACTGAAGAACTGCGAATTCGGAATCGCGGTCGATGCATAAACCACTCCCATTTCTCTCCTATCCGCTGACATTTCATTTCCACTTCTGTGTCCTCTCCCCCGCTCTCTCCCATCCAGTTCAGCCAATCAGGCTGATCGATTCTCAGTGAGCTTACACTCTCGGTTCTTTCCGCCCATCTCATTTCGTACCCTTCACCCTCCCATCTCCTCTTCTCCCGTCCCATCATCCCTCCCACCACCCCCAACTCCCCACCCCCCACCCCTACAAACCTCCCACCTTCCATTGTCTTGCGCTCACTGGAGACCTTGTTGTGTGGCTCATGCATACCATGTCAAAAGACACGGTGGGGTAGCCCTTGAGATCCTCCGGGAAAGGTAACAGGTGCAGAGCCTGGGGAGTTATGGGTTCACTGATCCACTACTTAACAAGCCTTTTCAACTCAGTGGTTAGTGACTGAGTTTTGACATGGTATCAGAGCCAAAGATCTTGAGTTCAATTCCTAGTGGGCACTGTTGGAAGTGCTAACGCTACAAAGGTGCTTGTGTCTTCCGCCTATCCCAGCAAGGGGGGGTATCAAGAGACACGCTGGGGTAGCCCTTGAGATCCTCGAGGAAGGGTCACAGGTGCAGAGCCTGGGGGGTCATATGTGCACTTACTTGCTACTTAACAAGCCCTTTTAACTGAGTGGTTAATAACTGAGTCCTGACATACCCCATGTATGGCGCTTGTTGCTCCTCCCAGGTTTCACACAAGATGAGCATCCCCAACCGACTTCGAACTGAAAAGCTGCGTGGGAGCGGCCCGATGAAGTGCTCCGCACATCACGATACGGCACACACCCTTCTTCATGTGTGCGAATGCATTATGTCCCGTGCCGACTGAGACAGTGCCGGGTTGCTAGTGTGCAGCACCAGCAAATATTCCACTATGCTCCAACTTTAGTGCGACAACGGTCCAAATGGACATGCGATGCCTGTCACCCTAGTAGTAATGATCTTGTGCGGATTTGTCCAGCGGGTAGCTGCTGACTTGCTTCTGTCGGGTGCATAGCTACCTTGAAAAGGTGGTTAGGACCTTGGTTATTAGATTTGGCAGTGGTGGCTACCTTAGCATGCCCTGCCACACCCAAGCGCTATGCGACTGCCACAACTCTAACGAGCCACATGATACCCACCCTACTGTATCTCCTCCCCCTCTCCCCCCCTCCTCCTCCCCCCCAATGCTCCCCCATATTATGGCTACTGCATAAGGGTCTGGTCATCTGGTGGTTGACCATCACCACCACACAGTAGTATATGAACGGACTCCGGTGGCAACACTTGTTGGCCAAAATGCGAGTAGTAGACGGAAGACATGAAATTTCATTGGCAGGAACGTACTGGTTGCTCATTGGAGTTTCTGATGTTTAGATTTTCCATGCTGACCGGCATGTGCTGTAGATTTAAATCAGAATCTCGACCCGGGACCAGGTGCCGAAGAGACCTTGGGAGGCGGCAAGGGGAGCATGCTCGACTCGTGAGACCGCGAAAACGTCAGCAGCAGCAACACGCTGAGTTAAAGCCCTGGGGGGTGGTTTTGTCGAGAGATTACGGTTAAGGTCTAACCTGTCTGAATGACCCAATGGGTGTAGAAAAAAGCAGGTCCTATTTTCGGGCAGATACAGTACATGGGATTTTTTGGTATCATGACCTATACTAATTTGTAAAGTTGTATAGATTATATGTCATGGCCTTATCATTTGTATCTTCTTGAAGTATTATTATTCTTTTACTTTCATTAACTCCCTTGAATAGCTCGGCTATGATGGTGAGTCTGTACTTGAAAAAGAGTCACTCTAATGAATGAGGTCGTAGTGCACCCGAATGTTCCACCCTCCATCCCACCCCTCGAACCCCCCTTTCCCAACGTTCCGCGAAACCCATCGCTGGTTCCATGGCAGTCTAGTAGCCACACTCCCTAGACACAGGCCTTGGTGTTCTCGAGTCACAGATTGTCAGGTTGCCGACGATCTCGCCGCGTTGCATGCCATGGCGTACAAAATGGCTGCAGGCCCAGGTTTTGCTGCTAAGTGTTCATGGCCCGTTGTGCCCAGGTCCTCCCGTTTTCGCGTGCTGTCGCTGTTTCTCCGCTCCCCTTCGCTAGCTCAGTCAGTTCCAGTCTCTGCTACGCCATGGCTGCGGCCAACACCACCAAGATCTACGGTCTGAAGATTTCGACCTGCACGAAGAGAGTTCTTACTGCTTTAGAAGAGAAGAATGTCACGGTAAGAGCCGAAGTTGCTAAGTAAACGTAACCGTCGAATTCCCCGCGATCGTCGTGAAGCTTTCCTCCGTCTCCGTTCAGACGAGTCTGTCGCCGATGTTGGATAACGGAGACTGATTGTGACTGTATCGCAGGGCTATGAAGTCGTGACTGTGGATGTCTCCAAGGGCGAGCATAAGTCGGCCGAGTTCAAGAAGAAGCAGGTCTGTAAATCTCTGGCTTTAAGCCTGCCAGCTCTCAGTTATCTCTACCCCCATACCGAGACTTGGGTTAGATTAACATCACTTTTACCCTCATCAAATTCACGCGCCGTCCTTTTTTTTTCGTCCGGTCCGTGTTTCTTGCTGCAGCCATTTGGCCTTATTCCTAAATTGGAGGACGACCAGGTTGAGCTTTTCGGTAAGTGCGAAGCACATAACCCCTTCACACGTACGAGGCCCAAATTTTGGCCAATTTTGGCAGTGGAGGAAGTCTTTAGAGCGTACTGACTCTGTCGCATGCCACCACACTCTCATGGATGCCTCTATTTTGGTCGGTAGTGATAGCATGTCAACGATTTTGTGAACCTGCTTCTCTTTTCTCGGTTTTTGGCTGCAGAGTCCCGTGCCATTGCACGATATGTTGCCGAGCGCTACGCGGACCAAGGCACAAACCTCCTCGGACCCACCCTTAAGGCAAGACAAGAACGACTTTTTTAACTGCCCATTTGTTTCATACCATCCTATCACATTTTACAGTCCCATTGCAGCTGTCACCCATGTTTACTGACACATTCCCTGTACCCCTGTACTGTATGCTGTCCAAAACTATTTCCACTACCTTCCATTCGTGCATCAGGAGCGAGCTCTGGTGAACCAGTGGCTGGAGGTGGAGTCTCAGAATTACACTCCCCCAATTTTTGGGCTGCTGACCGAGAAGGTTTACAAGCTGCGGCGAGGATTGACCACAGACGAGGCTAAGGCAGCAGAACACAAGGCAAAGGTCAGCGTACCAGGGAGGCCAGTCCATTCCGTCTGGCCAGTGGCTATGCTTGTCTTTGTCGTGGCCTTCATCACTCCTGTGCCTCTTTCCTCCAGTGCAAACCCTCATTTGCCTTTCCTTTTCCTTCTCAGCGCTCAGCCATGCCGGTAACTGTGACACATCATGTTGTTTCCTCTGTTTTACCTTTCCCTTAGCCTCCCCTTGTCAGCTCTCCCAGGTGCTGGATGTCTACGAAGCACACTTGGCCTCACATGACTTCCTGGCGGGGTCCTTCTATTCTCTAGCGGATCTGGTGCACCTGCCGTACACTGCAATGCTCTGGGTGACTGGCGATTCTGATCTCATCACAACACAGCCTAATGTGAATAAATGGTGGGAGAGAATCTCGTCACGCCCAGCATGGCAGAAAGTGTGGGCCATGAAATAGATCTCCTATTTCACATCACTGTTCTCAAGATGAGTGTTGTGCATAGCTGACTCATGCACATTGTGCCAAATGTATTGCACTTTAGTGATAGTGATTACACACTACAGCAGTCCCTATCTCGGGGGTTATATTTGCATTGCAGCACACTTGATCAACACAGAACGAACTTCCACCAGTACCAACAATAACATGATACTTGGATAATTTCCATGATACTTGGATACTGGTATCGTTTTCTAGGGGCCAAAGGCTTCTGGTGGGGGAGGTAGCATCTGGAGCCCTCTGGAGTCGAGCAGCTGCACCAAAGCGAGGTAGCCAATAGCGAGGATGAGGGAGATGGCTCCTGTGACAATGGCTGTCACTTGGCCCTTCAACAGGCCTGCTCAGGGAAAAGAAAAAAGAGGAATTGTTGGGAAAGGCGTGCCTCGGTGAATGGAAGAGGAATGAGGAGAGATGGCTCCTGTGGCAATGGCTGTCACTTGGCCCTTCACCTGGCATGCTCAGGGAAGAGTGGAGAGGAAGAGACGAATGGACATATGGACAGACAGATGTGGCTGTAACAATGGCGCTTACGGTACTGTGGCCATTCACCAAGCCTGCGCAGGGAAGAGTGGGGAAGAGAGGTATTGCTCGGGAGAAAGACGCTGCTTGGCGAATGATATGGATTAAAAAAAAAAACCTCCAGAGTAGCCTCCTGATAAAAATAAAAACCTATTTAAGAGCATTGCCGGCGAGAAAAGCGTGGCTTGTTGGCATCAAATGGAAGAGAACGTGGAGACATGTGACAGCTATGATGGAACGTGGAGACATGTGACAGCTATGATGGAACGTGGAGACATGTGACAGCTATGATGGAACGTGGAGACATGTGACAGCTATGATGGGACGTGGAGACATGTGACAGCTATGATGGGACGTGGAGACATGTGACAGCTTTGATGGAACGTGGAGAATGTGACAGTAATGATGCAACGTGGAGACATGTGACAGCTTTGATGGAACGTGGAGACATGTGACAGTAATGATGGAACGTGGAGACATGTGACAGCTATGATGGAACGTGGAGACATGTGACAGCAATGATGGCGGTTACTAACTAACTACGATGCTTGGCCCTTGACCAAGCCTGATCAGGCAAGAGCGGAGAGGCATCGGCAAGGCAAAAGATGAGAGGGAAAGAAAGGAAGGAGGGAGGTGTGTGGAAAGAGAGGGGTAAGAGGAGGGGAAGAGGGAGGGAGGGAGAAATGAACATGCTGGGGTTGGGGAGGAGGTGGCAGCGAGGAAGTAAGTCACGGGTCACTTGGAAACATTTGCGCATTGCCAGCTTTCCGGGCTCCCTAAAAAAGAAATCCCGTTTCCAGAGTTCGTTCACGCTAGCGCAAGTTAGTCCCCCACTCGGACTATAATAAATAAGGTCCGTATAAAAGCAACTTTTGCGTCTACTCAGAAGTCACCTCACGTTAGTCACCCACTCGGACTGGAACCAGTAAGATCAGTACCGACCCCAACCGCACGCCACCGCTAGGGTTCGCGCCTTGTTGCGAAGGACGCGTAGGCGGCTGCGCGGTTGACTCTTGAGTCGACTCAAAAGTAACCCCAGCAGCCGCCACCGTTGAAGGATCCCACCATCCCTCCCGCCCCCCCCTTCCCCCGCTCTTCGAGCAGCCGCCACCGCTCAGGTTCTCAACTTGTTTTGAGCCCGAAACAGATTAAGCTTCAGTCGTAGCCCAGCCCCAGCAGCCGCCACAGTTTAGATTCCCACCATCCCTCATCCTCCTCCCCTCCTTCCCCCCCCCTACCCCCTCTTGAAGCAGCCGTCACCGTCACCCGGTTCGCACCGGTTCGCACCGGTTCGTCACCGTTAAATGTTCGCACCTTGTTGCGGAGGAGGCGAAGCCGGTTGCGCTGCCGGCGGCGTCTTCGGCGAAGCTTCGGCCTGAGAGGTCTCAGACGAGCCGGTCTCGTCCGTAGACGCTCGCACCGCGAATGCACGCCTTTGGGTAACTACTGTCACAGAGGTGACGCGTCGCGGTAAGCATTGAAGCTTGTCAGCCGCCGTGAACTGCGGAGAGGACGACGCGGCTCGTCGTGTCGGGCAAGAGACACGGGGCGCGAGTGGCGTCAGCGAGAGTAGCGTAGCGGCCATTGCTGGTATCAGAAGCGAATGGTACGATGAATCGCGACAAACAATCTTTCTGTTCCGAGGAAAAATGGTACGACGAGGACGAGAACGGCGCGAAGAACGCTATTTCTTGCAACGTACTAGCTATTGCTTCTCCGCTACGCTACGCTATGATGTGATAGAAGCAGGGAGTAGAACAAATAATCGCCTGGTTGCAACGTCATCTGTGAGTCGAGAATTGTGCTACTATGTACCTGAGTGCACCTGTTCTCCTCTATTGTCTCAACCAGAACAGTCCAAATTGCAATCCCACCGACCAGGTTCTCAGCATGAGTCGCGTTGACACAGAACCTGATGGGCTGCAGTCAGAACGATAGCGAAAAGCAAAATCGAATTTCGACTGTAACGAGGGTCAGCTAGGACGTCGCGCAAGCAACTAATCTAGTGCATGAGCGAGATTTTGTAACAAAGTATCAGTATTTACAATGGGTTTTCCCCTTCAAGGTCGCGTTTGCCCGTGTTAAACCATTTCCTGCTCATAGGCTTGAGCCGCGTGCCAAAACCGTAGAACAAATAGGGGAAAAGATGTAAAGTAATTGCTTGAACCCGATTGGATGAAGGCTGGCCCCGACTCAGACTGTGCCGACGTGGCCATGGTGACTTGGTCCCACATGTACGCGTGGACCTCCACTGACGTGTCCCTATCAAACGGGCTCTGTGGGTGTGCCCGAACCATGAACAAACAAGGTCGTGTAACAATTGGCGTAACCACAATGCGTAGTTTGGAGCTGAATTTGGAAGTGTAAGGGAAGAACACTGGAAACACTCAGTGCCCACAAAAAACGATGACCGTCTCAACAACTCACACCATGGCTGGATTGGATGCAGATTGTGGGCGTGCTGGTCATGTGGTCCAGTGTGGATTCTGGACAAGAACGTCGTTGTCAGTTTCTCTCGATACCTGATGACGTCGCGTACACCTTCAGTGCAGTGAACCGCTCATTCATTAGTCGCCACGTGTCAGATTACACACAAGCAACGGCCCGATCCACAGAGGCCCAATATCTCCATCACTTACCACATCTGATACACCTGAGGTCCAGTCAATCGCCCATTTATTAAATGCTACGTATCTATTTACAGTCTTTTTGGTCCGAACGCACGGGCAACGGCTCAAACGACACAGGCCCAAACTTCTGCAACAGTTAACACATCTGATACGGAGTCATCCAAACGTGCAGACAAGACGTTCTCATACTTTACACTGTTGCCTGAGGAACGCAAAGCAAACAACAATGGTCACCCGCTTTAGACAGGAAAATGCCAACGAGGTGACCAGACTACCCTATGATTCGTCCGTGAAGTTAAAGCCCGACCGCCAGGTTGCAAGTTATCTTTTCTCAAGATGCTGCACCTTGAGGCCCTCGTAACCGAGCAGCTGGCATCAAAATGCCAAATGCTCGCAAAGGATTTCCAACCAGGCAGGGCTGGGGGCCTCTCAGAACTTGGCAGTGCAAACCTGCCAAGTTCCTCGAGGGAAAAAAAAAGGGACGGGTTGGGTGGGGGGTAGATACCATAATATGTACTTCGCATAGTGGGTGGGAATTGTGAAACAAAAAGGTGATTCATATTTTTGGGGTCGCACTGTACCGAACACTGTATGAGTCAATTAACATCCGGTTTGTTTTTCCGAAACCGGTCAGGTCAAAAGGTTGGTTGTGATCGAAACAGTCACGAGTTCTCGCCCTGCAAACTTGGCAGAGCTGGCGAGGTGGCTCTCTGCCAGATTGTGAGCTGCAAAACTGGCAGCCCTGCCAAGTTTCCAGCCCTGCTAGCTTGCACGACACAAACGCTGGCTCTGCGAAGCCTAGTATTCGCCAATTATTTCGTTTGAAGAATCCATCGTTATCCAATCAGGTTCTGCCATCCCACCTAGCTAAACAATACAAATATGCAACCTGCTGGGCGAGCTTTAAGTGCTCGATTCGGGAGCACCCGTCCAAAATAAAATTGGGCCTGAAAAGGACTTCATGTGTACTAAGACCTCCAAACGTGCAGACGGGACGTTCTGAGGCCTCACGCTGTTGCCTGAGGAACGCAAAAGAAACAACAATGGGCACCCGCTTTATACTGGAAAATGCCAATTAGATAACCAGACTACCCTATATTGGCCAAAATCGCCCGTATATTTAGGCGCTCGATTCTGAAGTACCCGCCCGAAAACAATGGGCTTGAAAAGGAGTTCATGTGTAGTTCACTTCCGTCAACGCCCACCACTTTGCTACAGTACGCCCACCTGCCAACATCCGCCAATTAGCGCTCGCCAACGAGACGTGGATCCACTCACTGTGCTGTACGTAGTTGTCAGCTCCCCACATTTCACAATCCTCCACAGTGAAGGAACCACTTTCCCACAGGTGAGTTTGTCTTATCGTAAGTACATAAGAGATTATTCTAAAACCGCGTCAGCTCACCGCGTGTCATGAAATTGAAGGTCCTTTCTTTCGAATCGTTGCACTGTATTGGTACTGTATACAGCACAAAGGTGACCTTCAGTCGGAACTGCATGACTACATATCGTTGCATTCAAAAGCCTTGTGTCACTACCTGACACGGCATATGCATTCTTCCTGAGTATGAGTGACCAAGTATGATACTGTACACTGCAGACCGTTTCCGTTGGAAGCAAACGACGCTTGGTGGATGGTGTAATCATCACACAGCGATGAAATCAAACCCAACAGCACAGTACAGCACATCCAGACCATCCAAGCACAGCCAGTGCAAACCAGCCCAACCCAGCCCAAACGTTTTTAGACCGTATTATAAACCAGCTCAATCAAGGTCAAACCACCCAAACCACTCAGTGCAGCCCAGCCTTCTCTTGCCTCTACACCAGGGCTATCGGTTCAAGGGCAAACATCCGGAATGTCAGGTACATTCCGGGTCTTTACCGCTGAAATCCTGATTGTTTTAGGGTTAGGAATCACAAACACGCTGACTGATTCCGGACGTTTCTAAGGAACTCCCTGAGCAGTCCGGATTGCGCGAAAAATATTCTGGCCATCCGACTGGCATGGAAACCTAACTTTCCCTCCCACCCGCCCCCCTATTCCTTCGCAACCCTTACCAAATTTCCACACAATCTGAAGGTGCGACCCGTGGAACTTTCACTACAGAAGTGCAGGGCTGTCCGACTCACAGCCCCTTAGCCAGGTTGCGCACTGTCCCTCTAAGTTGTACGCATTTCTGTCGCGATGAACGAAAGTGTCGAACTTGGTGTGGCGGTGAGGACAGCAGCAGCAGCAAGTGTGTGTTCTGGATTCTTCATCGTTTCTTCCATCGATGTCCTTCCTGCTTGCACTCGAAGTGCCCACAGGTTCCGCTGATATGTAGGGAGTCCCAAAAAAAACACTCTGAATTCCAGATTGAAAGGTCAAAGTCATCCTGAAATAAAGGGAGATTTTTCAGGGAATGCTGAATGTTCAGGGTCTTTAGTGATGCGAATCCTGAGACCGCTGAGTCTTGAAAAACGAAAAATTAGCCCTGCTCTACGCCAGGGCCTATTTTTCAAGGGTAATTATTCGGAATGAAAAAACATTAAGAGTTGGGGCTGGGCTCGTTCCGGAATTTGAACGGGTTGAGTTATCGGGGTTTCCGGAATTTATAGAAGTGGCGTTACGGGGGGCTCCGGGCAGATTAGAATTCGCTGGTGAGGCAATCCGGCTGCAACTGCCAATAAATACACCCCCCCCCCCCCCCTCCCCTTCCCCCCTCCTCGCACCCAGGGTGGCAGGGACATTTTACCGGCGAAGTCCCTCACACACAGTTATAACTCCTCCCACACCCGCACAACTCACAACTAAGTCCCCAACTTCCAGCAGCATTCCTTCCTTCACCCCGCAACCAAACAAAAATGGCGAAGTCCCCCACACACAGACATACCGTACTCCTCTCACCCGCACCACCCGAAACCCAGATTTTTCGGCTAAGTTTGTCACAGCCAGGAACATTCCTTCCTGGACCATAAAGGAATTCGGCTAAGTCCCTCCCAAATAGAGATAGGCCTCCTACCCACACCCACGAAACTTATAAATTTCGGCTAGTCCTCATTGCAGGAACATTCCTGACTTTACGCTATAACATTGAGAATTTGGCTAAGTCTCCCTTACACCTAGAGAGTTTTACACAGAGAGACTCCTCCCATCCGGGCCACCCTAAACCTATAATATTTGGCGTCCCTCACAGACTGGCAAATTCCTCCTACAGCCCAGCTAGGAAGACTTGGCTAAAAACGTTTAGCCACGTTCCCCTCTTTCCCCTTCTCGCAACCCAGAAAGTTGTGAAGGTTGCTGACACAGATTCTACCCTACTTTAGCGGGTTTGTCAGAAAACTGGCGGAAGAAATTAACACTCTTAACGTAGCAAATCCAAAAGTACTTTATTTTTCTGGCACGCCGCAAATGTTACCCAGTTTCGACCTTGAACATCGTGACATGTCCGAGTCAATGTTTGCTGTAACTCGGCTAAAAGTAACTTTGTACCCGAATCCGGATGAAACAGAAATCAACTACCCTGAAATCCGGACGAATCAGGGTGCAGGTGGGTGGGGAAATCCGGGAGAAACAGAGCTCCAAAAAAGCTTAGCGTGAGCCCTGCTCTACACGCGCCCCCCACATGCACACTCACAAAATGGTTGTGATGAGATCACCACATCCAGAGAAGGAAACGTGAATTTGCTCACCTCTCTCCCGCACTCCCGTTTAGTTCTCATTTCACGTACCAGTTCAGTGTGAAACTAGTTAGTATTGGCTCTTGGTCAAGAACGGGCTTACCTCTCCTCCGCCTTTCTTCTGGCCCGTCATAGCGCCTCCTAGATCCTTCGTTTTGGGCACATCCGCATGGGCTCGCACGCGGCGGACTCGCTGAGTCCGATAGTATCACCCTCGATTCTCTCACAATCCGACCTCCCTCGTTTTTTGGACAGGCCACTAACCCTCCCCGCTCCGCGTTCCCGCTGCTCGCCGATTCAATGCCCTGGCGGAACACGCGCGCAAGGGCGCGCGCGGACACTGGATAGTACCATTGCGCCCGCGCAAAGTCCCAGGCGCAGCAGATTATCCCCCACTTCCCCCCAATCCGCGGTAGTAGGCCCTCCCGCGCGATGGGTGGAAGCACTCAGCAGCAGGGGGAGTGATCGCGCGCTTTTCCCATCGAATCTCTCTTCCGACAGCTCCTTCTCCGCGCTGCTTTCCCCCGATGGCTCCGCCTCCGCGGTTCTTTCCCCCAGAAGCTCCGCGTGGCGCCCCGCCGCGCTCACCCCCGTGCGCAGCCCGCACGCGGCGGCAATCCGCCATAAAGCGACCGCGTCGATAGATATGGAGGAGCTTTGGGCGGAGGTAAGTTTCGAGGAAAGCGCCGCGCAAGCTGCGGATAGTAGCGCTGGCGCGGGCGGGGCTGGCGGAGATGGCGCGGAAGGGCGCGGGCGGTGGAAGGGCGGGCACGCGCGTAACATCTCGTTCTCTGACTTCCGGTCGTTTTTAAAAGACAAAACGCGCGACGGCGACACGAAACTCGGCGGCGCTGACGCCGCTAAACCCGGCGCTGACGCGGCTAATTCCTCAAAGAAGCAGCAAGATAGCGGCGCGGCGGCGGCAGCGGCGCCGCCGCCAGCAGCCCGACGTCGCGCGACGCTGTCGCGCATTTTCTCCAGCCGCCGGGATCCTCTCTCCGCATCTCCCGCCGCGTTTGGCGGCGCGTCTAGCGGCGCCGCTCCGGCCCTCATCCCCACTTCCCTCTCCTCCATGTCTTTCCGAGGAATACGGGACACGTCAGCCTGCGATGACGTGTCGCCGCCCGGCAGCGTCGTGCGATGCTCGTCTGTGGAGGCCAACCCTGCGCCGCGCTCTCCGCGTTTTGCGGCGAGCGACAGCATCGCCGCCGTGCCGAAATCACCGAGGGCGCGCAGCCGAAGCTTCAGGCGGGATGGCGGAAACGTTCCCCGGAAATGGAACTCCGGAAATTCGGGGGCGGCGGGACCGGCCGGAAAGAGTTTGAGCGGGAAAGAGCCGGTGATGGTCGTTCCGTTCACGCGACGCGCCAAGGTCGCGTCGCCGCAAGTGGCGGCGCGTCAAGTTGCGGAAGCGGGGGAGGAAGGGGAAGCGGACGCGGGGGGAAAAGGGGAAGAGGGGGGAGAGTCGGACGACGAGCGCGGAGAGCAGGGGGGAGTCGCGGCGTCCTCAGGTCCGCGCATCGTCTTCCGCGTGCGGAGCCCGCGGCGGGACGATGGGCGGACAGGAATGGCGCGAGGAGCGGAGGAAGCGCGGGGGGAAGCGGAGGAAGGGGGGGCAGCGGTCGCGTCGTCTGTTCCGCTCGCTGGTTTCCGCCAAAGGAGCTCGTGGGGTTTCGCGGGGCGGAGTGGAATGGCCCGGCAAGGGGGGGGTGCGGAATGGAGTGGGGGGAAAGCGGAGAGCGCGGGGGGAGCGCTGCTCGGAACGGAGGTTGCGCGCCGAGGCCCCGCTGAAGGGAACGAATTGGGGGGAGCTGAGAACGATCGGGAGAACGTGTGCGACGGAAATATCCAAGGTCCGGGAAGTGACAGGCGCGGTGGAAGTGACGGGCGCGGTGGAAGTGACGGGCGCGGAGCGGAAATAGTGGGCTCGTTTCGCGAAATGGCGTACCCGTGGCGAGTAGAGAGCCTAAGTGACGGTATGGGGTCTTTAGAAGCCGAGGCGGCTGCACTCGCTCTGCCTGTACTCGGAGATTTAGAAGCAGAGGCTGCTGCGCTCGCGCTGCCGTGCTCTGCATTCTCTCACGCTCTGCCTATACCCGGAGATTTAGAGGCAGGGGCTGCTGCGCTCGCGCCTTTAGAAGCAGAGGCGGCTGCGCTCGCGTTGCCGCGGGGACGTGATCGCGCGGCAGGGATTGTAGGGACGGGGAGAGGGGGGCAGGGGGAGGCGGAAGGAGGGGGAGGGGAGGGGGAGGTGGAGGGGGGGAGGGGGGAGTCGTGTTGGCGCATGTATAGTTTGAGCAGCGGTATTGGGGAGGTAGAGACGAGCGGAGAGGGGGAGGGAGGATCTGAGACGGCGTGGCACAGGGAGGCGGAGGGGAAGGGGGAGCGGGAGGGGGAGCGGGAGGGGGAGCGGGAGGGGGAGGGGAGAACCGAGATGGCGTGGCACAGGTGCAGTTTGAGTAGCGGCATTGGCGTGCTGGACACACGAGGGAAGGGAGAGGGGGAGGGTGAGGGGGAGGGGGAGGGGGAGGGGGAGGGGGAGGGGGAGGGGGAGGGGGAGGATGAGGGGGAGGGAGAGGGGAGAGCTGAGAAGGTCTGGCGCATGGCGAGTCTAAGCAGTGGCATGGGCGCCTTAGGAACGAGCGGGGAGGGGCTTTCGCCGAGGGCGCAAAGAGCGGAGATGGCGTGGCGCATGTGCAGTCTTAGTCATGGCATTGGGACGCTTGCAGAAAACGAATGGAGGAAGGAAGAGGAAGGAGAGGGAGGAGAGGAAGGAGGGGAGTCAGGAGAGGGGAAGGAGAAGGGGGGTCATGGGGGATCGGAAGGAGGGAGAGGGGAGGGGAGTGAGGGAGTGAGAATCAGGTCTGGAAGGAGAGGAAGGGTTGCGAGCTGCCGTATTGGCGGTGGGGTAGGGGGTGGGGCATGGGAGAAAGTGCAGGATGGGGTGGGAGAGGAGGGTGGAGAAGAGGAGGAGGAGGAGGGGGGAGAGGAGGAGGAGGGGGAGGAGGGGGGGAGAATTTGAAGGTTGGGGGAGTAGAGACGGGAGCGGTAGAGAGGACGGACGACATGCCGATTGTGAGGTACACTAACGAGAGTGAGAGTGATCAAGGTGAAAGGAGGGGTAGCGGTGCAGGGGGAAGGGGGATTTTAACCACCAATGGGAGAGGAACAACAGAGCAGCAGCAGCAGCAGCAGCAGCAGCAGCACGGAAGGGAAGAGCAGACGCATATTGGAGCAGGCACAGCAGCAGGCACAGCAGCAGCAGGGCACGCAAGTGACTTGGCGCAGAGACTTCTCCAAGACCTTGCCACCTCTTCCCCTCCCCCCTTCCGCTCCGCTTCCCCCTCCGATTCCCCCTCTCCCTCCGCCCACCCCTCCTCCCCCGCCTTCCAGTTCCCCCGTCCCCCAGGGCTCCTCTCCCCCTGCTCCTCCTGCGCGAATCCGGGGGACAGGAGGACGGAGGGGGAGAGGGGAGCGGGAGGGGGAGGCGTGCAGAGGAGTGCGAGCAAGGCGCAAGTCGACCTTTGTGAGGCAGGGGAACAGGGTGCGCGTGTGTTCGAGAATTCTCAAAAGCACCCTGCAAAATCAAGGGAACAGGGTGGGCATGTGCATGGAGATGGGGGGGAGGTGCAGTTTGATTCAGAGCAGCCAGGTTTCGAGCAGGGTGAAGTGGAGGGTGAGGAGCAGGGTGAGGAGCAGGGTGAAGAGGAGGGTGAGGAGGAGGGTGAAGAGGAGGGTGAAGAGCAGGGTGAAGAGGAGGGTGAAGAGGAGGGTGAAGAGGAGGGTGATGATGGAAGGAACAGCGAAGGGCGAGAGGAGCACTGTGGGGCAAGGGAGCAAGGTGGGCGTCTGCATGAGGATGGGAAGGAAGAGCTGCTAGCAGCAGCAGCAGAAGCAGCGGGGAAGGCAACAGGAACAGCAGGAGAAGCAGCAGAAGCAGCAGAAGCAGGAGAAGCAGGAGAAGCAGCAGAAGCAGCTGCAGCAGCCACGGAAGGGGTAGCTTCAGTTGCAGCAAGAGCCAGAGCAAAATCAAAAGCAGGAACGGGAACAGAAAAAGAAGGGACGTTACCAGCACCACCGTCAATAGAAGGACGAGCAGAGGCGCTTGTCAAGGCCGAAGACCCTGCATCGGTAGCCGACACACAAGCAGATGCAAGAGGCACTCTAAAGCTAGAGCCAGCAGATAGCACAGGGGCGAAAGACAGCACCATATGCCAGCACAGCACGGCCGAAGCAGAGGCGAGAGCATTGAAAACTTTCCACCATATGCCCTCGGATTCTGAATCGCAGCAGCCTCACATCACAGACCCGTCACTAATGGGACAGCAGTCCGTTGACTCCAAGCCTTCTAAAAGGTCTGGTCGGCGGGTGCAGTTCAGTGAGGTGGTGAGGGTGAGGCGGGTGTTGGTTCCCTCCCACAGCACAGACTCTGCCGGACCTGCTGCCGAGCCTGCTGACGAGCCTGGTGGTGGATTTGGCGCAGAACCTGGTTCTGAGCCTGCCGCTGTGCCTGCTGCTGAGCCTTGGAGTGCTGCTGCTGTTGCTGATGCTTCTGCTGCTGTTGCAGTTTCGGCCGTTGGTGGTGGTGCTGCTGCTGTTGCTTCTGCTGCTGCTGTTGCTGCAGTTGATGGTGGGGGGTTGTTCGTCAACAGCAGCACTGTCACGACTGCTGCTGACTCGACAATCCCAGGAGCCAATCCTGGCGGAGAGGGGGGCGAGAAAGAGGGGGAGGTGAATGCAGAGAAGCAGGGCGCAAGGAGGCAAGACGATAGCTGTGAGTCAGCATCCGCGAGTCAAACGGTTGGATCGAAATCCAACGGTCTAGATCTGCCAGCACTTGACAAGTCTCACCCTGCCATTGATGCGTCTGACCCTACACATGCCGCCCCTGCCTTCGACCCCCCTTCCGCCTCTACCAAGCCTACATCTGCCAAGGCAGAACCCACCCACCCTCTCCTCCTGTCCGTCGCATCCCCTTCCCCCCTCCCATCCTTCATCCCAGCCACCTCCTCCCTTCCTGTCCCGTCCATCTCACAGGAATTGGACAATCACCAATCACCAATCACCTCTCTCTCTCCCGCCCTCCCTTCTCCCTCCACCCTCCCATCTCCCCCCTCCCCAAGCCCTCGCAAGCTCCTCTTCTCTCTCGCGCGCTCCTTCTCCCGCTCCCGCCTGAAAACCTTCATGTCTCCCCTCCTCTTGAGTCCCTCTAAGCGTGGTATGGAGGCTAGCGAGGGGCCACCAGAGGGAGTGTGGGAAGGAGAACAGGGAGCAGAGTGTAAACCTGCAGGCGATTACAGCGAGGCAAATGTAGGAGTTTTTGCTGGATCGGCAAGAGACGCAGCCTTGGAAGCACCCCAGAAAGCAGCTTCCGGGATAGGTTTGTTAACAGACCTAGGAGCAGGCTTGGGAGGGGGTTCGGCAACAGGTTCGGGCCAGTCCGGGATTGTTCCTCGTTCGGTATCTGCTGTGGATGCGGGTCATGTGGATTCCAAGGCAAGACAGAAATGGATGCGGGTTCTGCGCCTCCCAAAACCAAGGGCCTTGGGAAGAGCGGCGTTGGGCTGAGCTGGGCTGTTTAATTCAAACGGCACGGCGACACTGCAATTCGGTGGATTGTTGGTTGTGGCAGTAAGATTTAGAAATTGCCACCCGAAACCAAAAACTCGGAAGGAAACAAGAAACTGAATGGAGGTGAGACGAGATAACGCAATATTTATTCATTCATTTTGCTGAGTGAATGTACGTTGCTCAGAGGTACTGAAAATCGAATCCGTTGGCTCGCAACTGTGTGCCTCATGTCTGAGGGCGCGTTCCGGGTCGAGTGAATTCTTCGGGATTAAGCGAAAGCACTTTAGCTGGAAGACCCGAGGCCTGGGCTCGAAAATCAAAGAGAGGAGAAACCTGAGCCTCGACCAGTGAGAGTAAGGGGGAGGCAAGTCGCAACCAATCGAACCCCTAGTAAAGCAACCGAATTTGCAAATTCGGGGCAGAAGACCCGAATGCTGCCTCGAAGCCCTGACCCGAAACACCGGTTAGCGCGGAGCGCGCCCTGAGGTCTCTTAGTTCCACTGCAATTACTCTGTCGAGGGTGCAGGCAGAAACGTTTCAGATGCTTCCACTGAACACCCAAGCCAGACCCACCCAGACCCAGACTTTTGAGCTGGAGTCTGGTCTGGATGGAAAGGGCGATCATTACAGTATTCGGCAGTCAACGAGCAGCCCCGAGCCAACTTCCAGCCAGCCTGGAGGGCGCTTAGCACGCTCTTGTCGTCGACACCCCTGCCGAAATGGCTGTTTCTGGAATCTCGTGTGGCGTGGTGATTGGTGGTGGAGAGACGAAATTGATCCCCGCCAGCTTCGGGCCACTCAACTCAACCCTACCCAAGTCGAATTTCCTCCAACTGAAGTCCGAATTGTTTTAGGGGCTTCGGACTCCAAAGCTAATGGAGGGTGTGTGGCCTCTAGCATTCGACTAAGCTTGGGTCTAAAAGGCAGCTTTTTGGTTCATGGCTTCGGCTAACGAACCTTTTTTGTTCGCTTTATCGCCCAGTCTACCTCGATAAGGTCCCGAATCCTTTCCGACGAGTGTTTGCAACACTCCCAGGAAATTCGTTACGGAATGACTCGAATTTGGGGTGTACAATACAGCTCAGTCTGTTACAGCAAGATACTGGAGCTACATGGCCCGTGGATAAATTTAGGACCATTGGATGAATTGAATTTCCCTCAGGATTGCTCGTCGCGGGGCGCCCAAAATTGACCGATGGGCGGGTTGAAAGGTGATTTGGTAGGGCTCAATAAAGAAGCGCTGGCGTTGAGTGCGGTGAAGGGGGGCCTGACAGTTCGGGAAACCACTCCGCCGTCTCCAACCCAAGAGTTGGCTTTTGCGCTCTCAGCATCTCACGGTTGGGTACTAGAGGAGGAACATATTTTGTGTGCAACTGCACCTCTACCTAGTAGACAATCGGTGAGTTGCAGCTATGACTTTCAGATCTCATATACTCAGCCGTCTATCCTAGTAGCATCCTGTCTCCGCTTTTATAGCAGCTCGCTATGTTCGCGCCGGCGGAACCTCAGAGCCCCATTTTCTCACCCTCAATATTATCACCATCCGACTCGGATGACCTCTCGCCAGTGTTGGGCCGGCCACTCACCCTCCCCCCTCCGCGCATCCGGCGCTGCTCACCCCCGCAGGACTGCTCTGGCGCAACCCGCCGCCGTGCGCGGACCTTGGATGCCGCCGCCATCGCAAAGTTCCCCCCTTTTTTTTTGTGTGCTCGCGGGTTGTTGAGGCCACTTGTCAGGCAGCCAACCCCTCAGTTTCAATCGGAAAATTTCCACCCTGCAATTTGACGGCGATTCGCCTGCGCAATTTCGCAGGTGCATTACAGGCCGATTTCGGATAGTTTTCAACCCGTTATATCACAAAATGCATTATTGGACTTCAAATTCACTATTTTAGTCCTATGTGTATATACAAATTTATACAAAACTTGGTTGTGCTGTACTGTTAAACAATATACTTATTGTGCAAAAACACGTCTGGCTCATTCTTGTCAAACATCCTCACGATCTGGACGTGACGCAATATTGACGAAATCGGAACCACGCTATATGAAAGCTCTGGTGCTGGCCAGCTCAGCCTCACACACCCTGTGGCTGCATCCACGCCACGCGTCCTGTAGTACCGCACGTACGCAAGGTCATGCCGTACGCAGCGTCTCTTGCAGTGGAACAGGAGCAACACCTTGGCGTACTCCACCACATTACCAACGCACGATACTGCCACATTTGAGAACCATGGTCGCTTGTAGCAGTCAGGTGTAGCCCGGACAAAGTGGGCGAGCTTGGAGGAGTTAACTCCACCATCTGCAGGAAGTGCCATTGTCGGATGGGCCTGCGCAAGACGATGGATGAGTAAGGATAGGGTGGTCTAGGGTGTACATGACAACACATTTGGTGTTCATGACTCACCTGCACCTTCGTGGCGCTCACTCCATAGTCAATTAGCGCCATGTTGAAGTAGATGTGCGCCTCAGGTTGCTGCTTAGCCCACCCTGTGTTGAACTTGTTCATTTTTGTTGGCTCGGATGGAGGCGCGACAAGGACAGGATAGGAGTCCTTCGTGAGGACAGGCACTCCCTTGGTAATGGCCTGCATGTATAGCATATAGTTGTCAATAAAATAGTGAAACAACAGGGGGGAAACTTGGCACATGCGCTCATAAGAGTCATTTACCTGCTGCATTGCAGTGTTGCGTGCGTGTTCGGGCGTGTCAAGCGTGAGGTAGGCTGCCCTCTTCTCATGATGCTTCATTATCTGAGTCTCAACATTGCGCTTGTTGGATCGTCGGTAGATCCGTTTGAGCAACGGGCCATGCAGATGCTCAAACATGGCGGTTGCGAACTCTGATACATTACCTGCTCTCCTGATAGCTGCCGCATAGTGAGTCATCAGGTGCGTTTTGATTAAACACCAATCTGACTTTTGCTCTGGAAAAGCATCCTGCAGCTGCTTGACCAGCCTGTTGGGGTGGGTTTGTGTGGCATTTGTTTTTTTTTTGCAAAATACCTAGAGCGTGTATATAGAATTCTCACATGTGTAAATCTTGATAGCCACAAGTATTTATAAGATAATCAAGCTTTATGTTCAAGCATTTGTTCATTGCAGTTAAAATTACCTATGCGTCAACTCCTCTAGAGTCGACAGGCTCCTCTCGGTGTGGCATGGCTGAGCGCAGAAGATGTACCACTCAAGGTACGCGCGGATCGCGCTCAGCCGCTTCTCCTCCAACGTGTCTGCCACGATGAAAAGTAGCACCTAGTTAGGTGGGGTTGGGTTAGTATAGGTGCAGTTTTCTAGAAGGTACCTAAAGCACATATCTCTGAAGCATTCAATAGCTGTATTGACAAAACACGTACCATCAAGACAGCGCGGTGCTCGTGGGCGGCGACACATGCGCCAGACTCGAAATAGGCAGTCTCAGGGAAACGTAGGTTCGTCATTCGAGTCTCCTCACGGATCTGTGTGAGCCTCCTGCAGAAGGGAAGGGGTGTGTGGGTGGAGGGACAGCAAAATGGCAGAACCAGAGGTGAAAATAGGAAGGGGAGAATGGAGCAAGGGAGGGATCAATAGACGAGCACAGGGGGAGGGGGAATGCAGCAAAGGGAGGGGGAAACAGAGGTGCGAAATGGAAGTGGGTAGCAGCAAGCAAGGGGAGCCAGCCATTCGAGCTGTCGGGGGTAGCTGAGCAAGGGAGGGGAAACAGAGGTGCACAAGGGAAGGGGGTTGTGTAGCAAGGGAATGGTGTAGGTGAGGTGTGCAAGGGAAGCAGACAGGAGCAAGGGAGGAGAGCCAGAGGGGCAGGCTGGAAGGGAGAGGTGTGGAGCACAGGTGCAGTCTAGGGGAGGCCGATGCAGCAAGGTGAAGAGACGGAGTGATGCAGCAAGGTGAAGAGACGGAGTGATGCAGCAAGGTGAAGAGACGGAATGATGCAGCAAGGTGAAGAGACGGAGTGATGCAGGAAGGTGAAGAGACGGAGTGATGCAGCAAGGCGAAGAGACGGAGTGATGCAGCAAGGCGAAGAGACAGAGTGATGCAGCAAGGCGAAGAGATGGAGTGATGCAGCAAGGGGAAGAGACGGAGTGATGCAGCAAGGCGAAGAGATGGAGTGATGCAACAAGGCGAAGGGACGGAGTGATGCAGCAAGGGGAAGGGACGGAGTGATGCAGCAAGGTGAAGAGACGGAGTGATGCAGCAAGGTGAAGAGACGGAGTGATGCAGCAAGGTGAAGAGACGGAGTGATGCAGCGAGTGATGCAGCAAGGGGAAGAGACGGAGTGATGCAGCAAGGTGAAGGGACGGAGTGATGCAGGAAGGTGAAGAGACGGAGTGATGCAGCAAGGTGAAGAGACGGAGTGATGCAGCAAGGTGAAGGGACGGAGTGATGCAGCAAGGCGAAGGGACGGAGTGATGCAGCAAGGGGAAGGGACGGAGTGATGCAGCAAGGTGAAGAGACGGAGTGATGCAGCAAGGTGAAGAGACGGAGTGATGCAGCAAGGTGAAGGGACGGAGTGATGCAGCAAGGCGAAGAGATGGATTGATGCAGCAAGGCGAAGGGACGGAGTGATGCAGCAAGGGGAAGAGACGGAGTGATGCAGCAAGGCGAAGAGACGGAGTGATGCAGCAAGGCGAAGAGATGGAGTGATGCAGCAAGGCGAAGGGACGGAGTGATGCAGCAAGGGGAAGGGATGGAGTGATGCAGCAAGGTGAAAAGACGGAGTGATGCAGCAAGGTGAAGAGACGGAGTGATGCAGCAAGGTGAAGAGACGGAGTGATGCAGCAAGGTGAAGGGACGGAGTGATGCAGCAAGGCGAAGAGATGGAGTGATGCAGCAAGGCGAAGGGACGGAGTGATGCAGCAAGGGGAAGGGATGGAGTGATGCAGCAAGGTGAAAGGACGGAGTGATGCAGCAAGGTGAAGGGATGGAGTGATGCAGCAAGGTGAAGAGACGGAGTGATGCAGCAAGGTGAAGAGACGGAGTGATGCAGCAAGGTGAAGGGACAGAGTGATGCAGCAGGGTTTAGGGACGGAGTGATGCAGCAAGGTGAAAGGACGGAGTGATGCAGCAAGGTGAAGAGACGGAGTGATGCAGCAAGGTGAAGAGACGGAGTGATGCAGCAAGGTGAAGAGACGGAACAGAGGATGGATGGTGCATGGGCAAGGGAGGGATGGACGCGGACGGGGTTGGGATGGATGGAGGATGGGCAAAGGAGGGATGGATGCGGAAAGGCAAAAGGCATTCACAGTAGTGGTGGAGCAAGTGGCATGGTACGAGATATGAGTGTGACCCTTACTCGTCAAAGGTGGCGAGACTGCCTTTGTGGGAGGAGCGGATTGCGGAAATCATGTGGTGCAAGATCCCGAGGTCCGCCTGGTGCATTATGTCCGGCATGATGGCCAGGTAAGGGTTCGCCCAGGGCGCACCAGGCACATCCCACAGCCAGAGGGCGCACTGCATCAAAGTAGGGTAGCCGACAGGGTTCAACATACCAGATCAAAGTTTAATTAGGGAGGGTAACGGCTGTGGGGGCCAGAAAGGCGTTGCCGGGGGGCTTGGTGTCTAGCTCGGATAGGGTGATTGCAACCGGATGGGGACAGAAAGGTACCACAGCAAGCATCACGGAGATTAGGGGGGTGAAGAGGCACTAACCTCCATGCCGAACGTGGAGAACTGAACTCCAGCAGCTTTCTTGGTGCCCAGCTTGTTCGCCCAATTGTCAACAATCCACTGCTGTCGGGCCGGGGTCCGAGGAGTGTTCTCGGCCGTCACGCAGTCAAGGTGTTCCTGAGGCATGGTAGAGGTAACCGGGTAAGACGTAAGCGGGTAAGAGGTAACCAAGTTAGAGGTAACTGGGTTAGACGTACCCGGGTTATAGGTAACAGAGTAGGAGGTAACCGCGTCATAGGTAGCAGGGTGGGTGGTGACTGGGTAAGCGGTAACAAGGTTTGAGGTAGCAGGGAGAGAGATAAAAGGGTAAGAAGTAATAGGGTGAAGCGGTGCACACACCTTCTCGGCATAGCAGATGCTGCACGGTCGACTTGTGCCGCCGGAGAGGGTGCACGTGACTTTCCCGCTCTCTGGGTAGTCGCAGACCCACGCGTAGAGCATTGGCTTGACAAGGTGCTCCACGCCGTTCGGGTCTTTTAGCAAGAATCCGCTGGGGTGGCAAGTCAATTGGAGGAGGGGGCAGTGCAGAAACAGTGAGCTCAGCTAGAAGGTGCATGCACAAAACTAGGGGAAAGATGTGAGAGACGTTCAATCGAGAGATCCGAGGGTGGTGGGGGGTGGGGGGCGCGGTGGGGGGGAGAAGGATTGCGTTAGGCAGCAGGATGGTCACAGCCACGCACTTCTTGCTAACGCTCTTACCACTCACGACCCTCCAAAATCGTATGCAGCATGGTGAGAGCCCCCTGCTGAAAGAGTTGAGTTTTCTGCGCCGAAGGCATCCCCTTGGGTGGGATTGGGAGATTGCCCAGCAGGCAGTGCCCCGACGTCGCCCAGCGCCCGCCCTGACGGATGTTGGCGATGGTCATCATCACGGGCCACGCCTTCTTGCGCCCATTCTCACTGAGATGGGTGACGTCACTGTAGAGAATGATGGCAGCAACTACCGCGCCATCGCCGACGTGGGCCTGCAAATAAGTTGTGGTAATAACAGACAGGGCGTTAGAGGAGCCGAGACTTACAGCGGCAAGGGGTGGGAAGGCAGAAGCGGCAGGGAACCTAGCCTCGGCCAATGCAATGTACCTGAGCACTGTGCCACCAGGTGCCTGTCTCTGGCGTGGTATAGCACCTCTGCCCAGTCGCCGGATCGGTGTCAATGCGCGGCTTGAGAACGAACCCAGGGGCGTTGTTCGGATGACCGAACAAGTCAGCGAGGGCCTAGCAGGGAGGGAAACAAAGGAGGCGGGTGGGGATGGGGGAGGGGGTGGAATAGGGTTAAGGGGGTAGGCGCAAAGAGGCGAGAGACTGGGGCGGGGTAGGTTGGGATGAGAGTCGCTTAGGTTAAACTAGAGGCAGAGTAGGAAAGGGAAATGGAGTCAATGACTGAAATAAAAAGTTGGCGCATGGGAAGGCGTATTCGAGCTGCCTGGGCAAAACCAGAGCCAGAGGTGGGTTATGAGGTCACCACTCTATGATGCACAATGTGAAACAGGGGTGCAGAAGGTTCACACCAGAAACTGGTTCGGAGGTTTCGTTTGGCAGCGGGAATATCGGAGCTGGGGCACATTGGGGCACAGGGACGCGGAAAGGGTTCGTTTCAACTTCTCTGAAGCATGGGAAGGGCGGGGCAGGGAGAGTTTGAAGACCAGAGAAACCATGTGAGCATTTAGGTTAAACAAACGGAGCATGGCATCATCGTGCTGCCATCCTAGTGTCAATAGGTTTACTGTGATGGAAAGCTGGAAATGAACTTGCCTGTGCCGGATCTCTGAAGAACAGGATCTGGGGCTTGAAGCCGTCGACGTTGAACGTGGCGACGCTCCAACCGCGGCCCAACCCCGACAGCTGCTCAAGCTCAAAGCGTTCGAGCTCCTTGCAGTTGGTGAACTCCGATAGGATAGCCTGCGCGAGCTCCGGATGCATGAGGAGTTGGAGTATCTTGTTGATATCCACCTCCGTCATCCCCATTTTTCCGTTTGCGAGGCGGACGAGGTGGATGAAGCGCAGCACGAGAGGATGTGTGTGCGGAGGCGGCGTAAAGTTCGGCGCGATAAGAATAGGAGGCGCTGGAGCGTGCGCCGGGTCGACATAGTTGCTGATGTCAGCAGATTGCGCGTCACCGAGCACATCCAGGTGAGGGAGAGGGTCTTCGTTCGAACCGTACGATGCATTGTCGGAGTTTACGGTGTCCGCCTCGCCCTCGGACGGCAATGGAAGCCCGGACGAACTCGCCAACGGGCTTGGAGGTGCGTCGATAGGAGCGGGCTGTGGTGCGTCCAACGTCATGAAAAGGTACTGAGACATGGAAGGGCTCTGCACAGCCCGCCCAGCAGCATGCTTACGGCGGCACGAGTTCGCAGTACCCTTGTGTTGACCAAAGGCCTGGGCGTTGCGAAAGTGCTTCTCACAGAAACCGCACGTTATCCATTCGTTGCTGGTCATTGCTGGTCGGCCTGAGAGGGAAGGGGAGTTCCGTTCGGACAAGTATAAGTCCTCTGTATTCACCACTGCTCTAAATACAACATGAAAGAGGCGAGGTGAAGCAGGCGAGGCAGGGGGTCGATCATCGTAACGCGGGAAAACGCAGTTGGCGCTGGCGCCTAAACTACTACTTACTGCTGCACGACAGTTACGAACTTCGAGTTTCAAACATCACAAAGGGTTTCGATCGCGATCCAGATGCGCGGGGGCAACCCTAAGTGATACAAATGAGGAGTCAGTAGCTACGAGCACAATTCATGATAGGGATAGCAGTACATGTGGTCGCAAACGTTAAATACAGAAAACAAAACCATGCATGCGTGGTGCATTGTAGGTTTCCCACCAAACAACCATGCTTGGAGAATAAATAAAAAACGACACGACGGGTGATAGACGCATTCACCAACAAGGTTTAAAACACCACACATTGTAGTCCCAACAACACACAAGTACTACAAGCAAGAGCCCACCCCGCAAACCTTCGTGCTCAGTTGGGGCTCCATATGTTGCCCCTCCTATTGGATTGGGAGGTCCATTGCAACACCACAATCGGTTCCCCCTCCTCTCAAAATGCAACCAAGTATGTCAGGGGTTGAAAATGAGTGTGAATTCAAAAAAAAAAAAAAAAAGCAGATTCCGCCCCCTACAGCCCCCCCCCCCCCGCATGCCTCCGTGCTCCTCTGGGGCTGGGATCAGGGTGGGGCTGGGATCAGGGTGGGGCTGGGATCAGGGTGGAAAGTCCATGTAGACACCATAACCGGTTTTCCCACGTTAGAAAAGGGAACCAAATACGGCAGGGGTTGGAACTGGGTGCGAATTCACACAAAAACTTTCAAAAACAAGCAAATTCCGCCCCCTACAAGCCCCCCCTCATGCCTCCGTGCTCCTCTGGGGCTGGGATCAGGGTGGAAAGTCGATGTAGACACCATAACCAGTTTCCCCATGTTAGAAAAGGGAACCAAATACGACAGGGGTTGGAACTGGGTGCGAATTCACACAAATACTTTCAAAAACAAGCAAATTCCGCCCCCTACAAGCCCCCCCTCATGCCTCCGTGCTCCTCTGGGGCTGGGATCAGGGTGGAAGGTCCATGTTGACACCATAACCAGTTTCCCCACGTTAGAAAAGGGAACCAAATACGGCAGGGGTTGGAACTGGGTGCGAATTCACACAAAAACTTTCAAAAACAAGCAAATTCCGCCCCCTACAAGCCCCCCCTCATGCCTCCGTGCTCCTCTGGGGCTGGGATCAGGGTGGAAAGTCCATGTTGACACCATAACCGGTTTCCCCACGTTAGAAAAGGGAACCAAATACGGCAGGGGTTGGAACTGGGTGCGAATTCACACAAAAACTTTCAAAAACAAGCAAATTCCGCCCCCTACAAGCCCCCCCGCATGCCTCCGTGCTCCTCTGGGGCTGGGATCAGGGTGGAAGGTCCATGTAGACACCATAACCAGTTTCCCCACGTTAGAAAAGGGAACCAAATACGGCAGGGGTTGGAACTGGGTGCGAATTCACACAAAAACTTTCAAAAACAAGCAAATTCCGCCCCCTACAAGCCCCCCCTCATGCCTCCGTGCTCCTCTGGGGCTGGGATCAGGGTGGAAAGTCCATGTTGACACCATAACCGGTTTCCCCACGTTAGAAAAGGGAACCAAATACGGCAGGGGTTGGAACTGGGTGCGAATTCACACAAAAACTTTCAAAAACAAGCAAATTCCGCCCCCTACAAGCCCCCCCGCATGCCTCCGTGCTCCTCTGGGGCTGGGATCAGGGTGGAAGGTCCATGTAGACACCATAACCAGTTTCCCCACGTTAGAAAAGGGAACCAAATACGGCAGGGGTTGGAACTGGGTGCGAATTCACACAAAAACTTTCAAAAACAAGCAAATTCCGCCCCCTACAAGCCCCCCCTCATGCCTCCGTGCTCCTCTGGGGCTGGGATCAGGGTGGAAAGTCCATGTTGACACCATAACCGGTTTCCCCACGTTAGAAAAGGGAACCAAATACGGCAGGGGTTGGAACTGGGTGCGAATTCACACAAAAACTTTCAAAAACAAGCAAATTCCGCCCCCTACAAGCCCCCCCGCATGCCTCCGTGCTCCTCTGGGGCTGGGATCAGGGTGGAAGGTCCATGTAGACACCATAACCAGTTTCCCCATGTTAGAAAAGGGAACCAAATAGGACAGGGGTTGGAACTGGGTGCGAACTCACACAAAAACTTTCAAAAACAAGCAAATTCCGCCCCCTACAAGCCCCCCCTCATGCCTCCGTGCTCCTCTGGGGCTGGGATCAGGGTGGAAAGTCCATGTTGACACCATAACCGGTTTTCCCACGTTAGAAAAGGGAACCAAATACGGCAGGGGTTGGAACTGGGTGCGAATTCACACAAAAACTTTCAAAAACAAGCAAATTCCGCCCCCTACAAGCCCCCCCGCATGCCTCCGTGCTCCTCTGGGGCTGGGATCAGGGTGGAAGGTCCATGTAGACACCATAACCAGTTTCCCCATGTTAGAAAAGGGAACCAAATAGGACAGGGGTTGGAACTGGGTGCGAACTCACACAAAAACTTTCAAAAACAAGCAAATTCCGCCCCCTACAAGCCCCCCCTCATGCCTCCGTGCTCCTCTGGGGCTGGGATCAGGGTGGAAGGTCCATGTTGACACCATAACCAGTTTCCCCACGTTAGAAAAGGGAACCAAATACGGCAGGGGTTGGAACTGGGTGCGAATTCACACAAAAACTTTCAAAAACAAGCAAATTCCGCCCCCTACAAGCCCCCCCTCATGCCTCCGTGCTCCTCTGGGGCTGGGATCAGGGTGGAAAGTCCATGTTGACACCATAACCGGTTTCCCCACGTTAGAAAAGGGAACCAAATACGGCAGGGGTTGGAACTGGGTGCGAATTCACACAAAAACTTTCAAAAACAAGCAAATTCCGCCCCCTACAAGCCCCCCCGCATGCCTCCGTGCTCCTCTGGGGCTGGGATCAGGGTGGAAGGTCCATGTAGACACCATAACCAGTTTCCCCACGTTAGAAAAGGGAACCAAATACGGCAGGGGTTGGAACTGGGTGCGAATTCACACAAAAACTTTCAAAAACAAGCAAATTCCGCCCCCTACAAGCCCCCCCTCATGCCTCCGTGCTCCTCTGGGGCTGGGATCAGGGTGGAAAGTCCATGTTGACACCATAACCGGTTTCCTCACGTTAGAAAAGGGAACCAAATACGGCAGGGGTTGGAACTGGGTGCGAATTCACACAAAAACTTTCAAAAACAAGCAAATTCCGCCCCCTACAAGCCCCCCCGCATGCCTCCGTGCTCCTCTGGGGCTGGGATCAGGGTGGAAGGTCCATGTAGACACCATAACCAGTTTCCCCATGTTAGAAAAGGGAACCAAATAGGACAGGGGTTGGAACTGGGTGCGAACTCACACAAAAACTTTCAAAAACAAGCAAATTCCGCCCCCTACAAGCCCCCCCTCATGCCTCCGTGCTCCTCTGGGGCTGGGATCAGGGTGGAAAGTCCATGTTGACACCATAACCGGTTTCCCCACGTTAGAAAAGGGAACCAAATACGGCAGGGGTTGGAACTGGGTGCGAATTCACACAAAAACTTTCAAAAACAAGCAAATTCCGCCCCCTACAAGCCCCCCCGCATGCCTCCGTGCTCCTCTGGGGCTGGGATCAGGGTGGAAGGTCCATGTAGACACCATAACCAGTTTCCCCATGTTAGAAAAGGGAACCAAATAGGACAGGGGTTGGAACTGGGTGCGAACTCACACAAAAACTTTCAAAAACAAGCAAATTCCGCCCCCTACAAGCCCCCCCGCATGCCTCCGTGCTCCTCTGGGGCTGGGATCAGGGTGGAAGGTCCATGTAGACACCATAACCAGTTTCCCCATGTTAGAAAAGGGAACCAAATAGGACAGGGGTTGGAACTGGGTGCGAACTCACACAAAAACTTGCAAAACCAAGCAACCAAAGCCCCCCCGGCATACCTCCGTGCTCGGTTGGGGCCAAAGGTTGGGTGATAGGTCCATGGCAACACCAAATCTACTTTCCCTATGTTAAAAGACGGTGGTTTATATGGGAGGGATTGAAAAAGAGTGCGAATTCAACCTGAAACAAACAAATTCAGCACTAGACAGCCTCTCCCGCATATCTCTGTGCAGCTGTGGGGCTGGGAATTGGGAGGAAGGTCCGTGGCAACTCTCCGCCCAACTGCCCCCGGAAAAGAGCGGAACCAATCACGCAATGACTAAAAAACGAGAGCAGATTAACCTTTAAAACACTCAACACCTGCACCTTAACGTCACCCCAACATACCACCGTCCTCTGTTGGGGCTGGGATTTGGGTGGGAGGTCCATGGCGAGTCCACCCTCGTGTTCCGCACTCCAAGAGACGAACCCCAAATCGACACACCCTGAATCTGAGAGGAAAAGCAGAAAGAGACACAAACCAAAACATGCGAAGACAACAAATCACAAACAAATGTGATCCAACTATGGTAAAATTGGCCAGGGAGGATCCTGGGGAGTCCAACCCTATGATTCCCACGCCACATAACGGAACCAGAAATGGCTCACCTTGAATCTGAGCTAAGAACAACATGGGACACAAAACAAAGCATGCAATGTCAAAAAATCACAACCAAACGTTAACCAAACATATTAGAAGTTTGCTGGGAGGTCCATTACCATAATGGTCATAGGTCACTGGCACAAAAAGAAGGTGGTGCAAAAGTTGGTTTTTGAACCAAGTAGTCTTGGTTCATTAAGGTGGCACTAGGATAGCATACTGGGCCACCCCTGTATCCCAGCTAGTCCCATCACCTGAAAAAGACCCAAAGCCGTCGAATGTGACAAAAGGGAGGGAGGCATGTTAAAAGCACCTAATTCCGATATAAAACGTAATTCAAAACGCGCATTCCACAAAGTCGTACGCAACAACTAACCATTTTCAGGTCACCATTGCATCTCTGGGACTAGGATGCGCATAAAATACAACCACCTCAACCAACTTACAGGTTAGTTCTACGATGCGAACCAGGTACTTGTCTATCCTACCTAGATCCGGGTTTAGGCACTAAAACTATATAGAATGTTTGGAATGCATGTAGAAGGTTTGGAATGTTACGAAGCAACACACTGTTTTGTTGGGTTCAGCAGCCCAACAGCAGCCCATGGAAAGTTGGGTGCACTAGCAAACACTGCCAGCGCCCCAACCGAGCAGCAACACCTTCCAGCAGTACTGCTGGCGTGTATGTTGTAAAATCTACCCGCTGGCGACCGCTGACTGGTTCTAAATTACTTACGAGCACCGCCTTACCTTATCTTCGTTGTGCGATGCGCAGCACAGAGACCTCACCAGGTTGCCGACCAATTGGGCCGGATGGTTGGCCAATAGTGTCGCGTTTTGGTCTCCGCGCGGTCTCCAAACCTCGCGCAAATCCCACCGTCGCTGTAACCAGCACTACCAACGACAGGCTGGGTAAACACCCGCAAAGCTCCCTCGAAACCCAGTAGTTACGATGTCGCACTTCTGTAATGAAATCAGTGACTTTAGGACAAGAACGCGCGGGGAGGTGGGGCTTTTGGCGTTTTTTTTGTGTGTTTAAGTGCCGTTTCGCATTTCTTGCTGGTTTTGGGTAGGCACGAATTACCATTTCGCCCTGCCCCCCTAAATCTCCCTTGTTGCGCGTGTTCACCCCTTCTCGCCGGCCCCCCCCCCCTCCCAGCAGATCAATAGCGCCCATGTCGCGTCGCAAATTCCCCTCTTGTTCCACCAATTGCGCACCCACGTCCCCCCTCCCTGCCCGTCGCAGAAGGGCACCCTCATCCCGCCCTCGGCCAGTCGTACTTGCGCTCATCCACGTCCCGCCTTCCTAGCACACCACGGCTCTTCTTTCTCCCTCCCTTCATCCTCGCGCCCACGTTCCACACCCCCACGGCATCGTCCTTCCCCCTCCCTTTCATCCTTGCGCCCGCATCCACCTCTCCCCCTCACGCCATTGTCCATCCCTCTCCTCGTTTTTTGCCAACCCCCTTTTTCAGAAATGCTCTTGTTGCTGTCTCTAGCATCAACTCTCCCTGGAAAGCTCTCGTCCTAGGGGTCTAGCAGGCCGCATATCAGAGCAGTCCAGCCCATGACGGAGCTCAGGAGAGCGATCCTTCCTTTTCGAGCAGCCAACCCTCTTCCTTCCCACGGTTCTCACAGACCTCGTAGTTCCCCCCGCTATAGCTGGCCGCGTAACTTGGCAGTCCAGCCCATGATTCCCTTTCGAGCCGCCATCCCCCCACCGTCCAAATCGCACGGTCCCTTCAGGCCTCGATACAACGGGGCACCTTTAGTGGGGTCCCACCATGTTCATTACTCCACCGCGTCGGCCACCTTAGTCCCGATCACACGGCGTCACCGTTTAGTGGCGCGCCGACGTGGCGGGGTGAGCATGGTCGTGCTATCGCGTCGGCAGAGATCCGACGTGATGCCAACGTGACCGCGTGTTGTTTGCAGCTGAGAGGCCTTGGCGTCGTCTCCGTTGGGGCTGTCGAGCTGGGTTGCCCGTCGCTCTAAGGATCCTCCGAGATGTTGCTATAAAAGCAGGGCTCGTAATATCCTTATACACATGTCATACCAGCGGCCTTAGCGTGGTCCAGTCACATACCTCTTTACTCCGATCCACCAACAGCCATGTCTCAGCCAGCTCTCTCCGACTCTAGGGTACCCGGTGGCAGTGGAACAACCAAGCGCAAAGTGAAGACGGGACGCAAGCGGGCGTCCCCCAAGAAACCTCGCCAGGATGCCCCGGGTACGGGTGAGGACTGTTTTGCCCAGGACATTCTAGGTGAGGACCTCACAGGGTCGGAAGGCAATGACTCCGCCGGTTTAGAATGGCAAGGCGCGACGACTGCCGTCGGCGAACTCGGCACTGGAGATGCGGGGCCAGCCGATCATGCACCAGAGCATGTGGAGGACAACCTCGGTGGTGAGGAGGCGTTCGAAGAATTGGCAGAGGCGGCCGAGGCTGACGAGGCGAAGGCCGACGATGAAGTGGCAGGAGCTGGGGAGGCGGGAGAGGAAGATGCATACGCGGAACATGATGGCGAAGAGCGGGTAGAGGAAGATGGTGCGGACGAGGATGCCGAGGAGGAGGAGGAGGAGGAAGAAGAGGAGGAGGAGGAAGAGGGGGATGGGGAGGAGGAGGAGGAAAGGGAGGAAGAGGAGGAAGATGAGGAAGAGGAGGAGGAGGAGGAGGAGGAGGAGGAGGAGGAAGAAGAGGAGGAGGAGGAGGGGGATGAGGCGGAAGAAGAGGAGGGAGGGGAGGAGGCAGTCGGGGTGGAGGGCATGCAGGTGGTGGCGGCCAACGACGACTCGGATGCTAGTGCCCACTACCTGCGAAACATGCGGAGCGCGCGAGCGCAGGCGCTGAGTAAGCAGTCTACATGGGACGAGGAGGAGGAGGCCGAGCGCATGCTGAGGAAGGGACGTTTTCTCCAGCTCGGCTCGCTGCACGGGGACCCGCCGGCCAACGAGGCTGCCAAGGCCGGCCAACCAAAGTCCGGCACCCGTGGAGGGGGGGGTAATTGGCGTGCAGGAACCTCTCGGGCGGCGGGGACGGGTGACGGGAGGGCGGCTGGAGTTGGTAGTGCACGGAATGCACGGCCCAAGGCGGTGGGCCGGAGGCCTTTCGCCGAAGCAGCGAAACCGGCCAAGGGAGCAGACAAGGGCAACAAGGCGGGTGAGTGTTTTACGTTTTCTACTCCCTCGGCTTTGTTTACTGTTTTGTCGAGTACCTTTGCCCAAAACCTAAGGCTTGTGCTCCCCCTTATGCCATGTTGCCCCTCTGCACCCTAGCAGCTGTGGCGGATGCCAAGGCTTCTGCAAAAACGCAGAAGCCCAAAAGAGGTCTGTACTAGTTTAGAGGGTTGTCGCTCCACAGCATTGCATCACTAAAATGACCTCGCCTCCTTCCCCTTCCCCCCCGACGCCCCCCATCCATCTCGTCTAACACTAACCCCCCTTGCTCCATACCCTACACTCTCAAAAGGATACCCCCTCTACACCCTCCCCGCCCCGCCCCACCCCCCCCCCCCCCCCCCCCCCCCCCCCAACTCACCCCGCCTGCAGTTGTGTTGAACTCCGGAGTGGGCCCGCCGGACACAATTGAGCACATCCATCTCGCGCCCGGGGGTGGCATGAGGGGGGGTGTCATGAGGCGGGCTGCCACTGTGGGCAGCCCTGCGAACCCCGGCTCTGCGGTGTGGCGCATGACTACTTCTGGAGCAGGAGGTCAACGCACCCCTCCTCCGGGGGCCGGCTCTATGGCTGCGGGTGCGGCACGCGCTGCGTCAGCGGCAGCGGCGGTACTGGCAGCACGACCAGGGGGAGCGGCACGCACAGCGGTGGCGGCGGCGGCGGCGGGGACAGCACGCGCCCCATCAGCAGGAGCGGCACGTATGGCGGCAGCGTCGGCGGCTGATGGTCATGCGCGTTCGGTGTTGGCGGCGGCCCGGACGGCGGCAGCGGCAAGGAGTGGGGCTTCTCAGCAAGGTCCAAGCATGAGGCCCACTGCTACGCCGGCTGCACGGCCCGTCGTACAGGGCGCGGCACAAGCACCGAGGAGCATGACAGCAGTGGCGGCACTCGCGGGTCAGCAGCAATACGCTACGAGAGCCGAGCTCGCAGCGATGAGAGCGGAGATGCTTCTAGTCATTGAGCAGCACGGGGCTGCGTGGGGCACTGTTCCTGCCGGTCCAGTCACGGTCCATGAGCCCGCAGGGGGCCTGCAGGCAGGCGCGGCTCCAAGGCGCTCCCTGGTTAGGGGGGCGGAGCAGATTGCCCTGGAATCTGTCCTTATCGATGCAGGAGACTGGAAGGTATGTGTCCGCTGCACCGTCATAGCACTTCACTCCGCACACACCACCTCTCTCTCTTGCTCAATCCCGGTCTAAACCCTAGTGCCGCACCTCGCTTCACACTCTCCCATGTCTGACAATCTCCCTGTGCCCAACTTATCCTGTGCACGCTACTCGCGAGTTACTTCTTACCATCAGTATTTCATCTTCGTACAATCCTCCATCACTCCCACCAGCCCATCCCCTCATTGCCTGTTACCTCTTACCCTGATACATTTTCACATGTTACCTCTTATGTTGTTATTTTTTGCTCTGTTACCCTTTGCCCTGCTACCTCTTGCCCTGTTACCACACACCATGTTACCTCTTGCCCTGTTACCTCATTCCGTGTTACCTCTTACCATGTTACCCTAAACCCAGTTACTTCTTGCTCTGTTACCTCCTTCCTTGTTACCTCTGACCATGATACATCTTGCCCTGTGACCTCGTGCCCTGTGACCTCTTGCCCTGTGACCTCTTGCCCTGTGACCTCTTGCCCTGTGACCTCTTGCCCTGTGACCTCTTGCCCTGTGACCACTTGCCCGGTGACCTCTTGCCCTGTGACCTCTTGCCCGGTGACCTCTTGCCCTGTGACCTCTTGCCCTATGACCTCTTGCCCTGTGACCTCTTGCCCTGTGACCTCTTGCCCTGTGACCTCTTGCCCGGTGACCTCTTGCCCTGTGACCTCTTGCCCGGTGACCTCTTGCCCTGTGACCTCATACTCTAGTACCTCTTACCCTGTTACTTCGTGCCGTGTTACCTCTTGCCTAAACCTTGTTCCATCTTACCCATCATCCCGCCCCCTCTTTCCCTGTTGTCCTCCTTAATGTTCCACAGGTGAAGTGTCGCACTCTAGTTACCGAGTTCTACTGGCTGAAAGAAGCCTCAAAGATCCAGATGTACCCTGCGACCGTCGAAGTCATTGAAGGTTTCAGCACCTACCTGTCCCCTGACAGCATGCCCCATGTGCAATTGCTCTGGAACCATCAGTGCCCTACCACCAAAGGAGCCTTTCTCACTGCCTGTAGCAACACTCGTTGCTCCATAGGCAAGATCTTTCGTCGCATCGTTCTAACCGCATTGGGCAGTGAGAAGAAGAAGGACAAGGTTAGCCGTCTGCCCAGGGAGCTGGATCGTCCCACCGTCTACGTGAACGATGCAGAGCTTGTCCGCGACAACATGAACGGTGAGTTGCCAAGCAAGCATCCACATGGTAGTATTTGCAGGGCTAGTTCACTAATCACATCTCCTTTATCCAAATGGCTGTTTTGGAGACACAGATGATTGGGGCATGGATTGGCACATGGACAAGCCCACGGAGTGGCCCTTCTCCACCCACTTGTTTGCCATTGCCATGGCCAAGGCCTTCACACGGAGGGGGGTGGACATGGTTTCCTGGAAGTCCCGCATGGTGGCGTTCGCCTTGTTCTCGGTGAGCTGGTCTTTGTGATCCTCAGGTTGCTTATTGTAGTGCGGCCGCTAGCTATTAGAGGCACCCATCCTTATCCCTTGTACCGTTCGTGCTCTCTTTTCTGTATCCTCACATCCCATGTCCACAATGTTCCTCATCTTCCATTCCCATCATCTCAGGGTTCCATGTGCTCTTACCTCGCTTTTCTACCAATCCCTTGTCTAATATCCCAAGTGCTCCCCCTCGTGTGCTGTTCAACAAGATGCTCTTGTCCCAAGTGCTCGTCTCGTCACCCTTTCCGTATTCTCACTCACCCCGCCCAAAACCCACCCTTTCTGTGTAGCTCGAGAACCCCCTCCTTGAGCAGGCCAACGACGGCAAGCTCGGCACCGACCAGAGCCAGAACCGCAAGAAGTACGAGGCGACCTGCGCCAGGGTGCGGCGTTGGGTGGAGCACTCAGTGAACAACCTGGGGGTGCGCTACGACCCCACCACCAACGCCTACCAGTTCGGCTCCGGGGTGCTGATTGACGCTTCCGACTACCCCAGGCTCCCCAGGACTCAAGCCGGTGGAGAGTAAGTCAATGGTGCAGAGAGAGGAGTGGCAGTGGGGAAACGAGAAGCTGCGCGTGGAGCATCAGTGAGGGGCGGGAGGGGGGACCAGAAGCTGGAGGGGCAGAGGCGTACGAGGAAGTGGTAGGAGCTGAGGAGGCGGCACATGTAGCTGAGAAGAGCAGCAGCTTGGGGCACTGGGGGGGAAAAGGATAGAGAGCCAGCCGAGGGGAGCAGCAGAGGGGTGCAGTAAAGAGGAGCAGCAGCGCAGGGAGCAGCAGCAGAGGGGCGGCAACAGCAGACGAAACGGCAGCAGCAGATGGAGCGGCAGCAGCAGGCGGCGCAGCAGCAAAGGGCGCAGCAGCAGAGGGCGCAGTGGCAGAGGGCGCAGCAGCAGAGGGCGCAGCAGCAGAGGGCGCAGTGGCAGAAGGCGCAGTGGCAGAGGGCGCAGTGGCAGGGGGCGCAGTGGCAGGGGGCGCAGTGGCAGGGGGCGCAGTGGCAGAGGGCGCAGTGGCAGAGGGCGCAGTGGCAGGGGGCGCAGTGGCAGAGGGCGCAGTGGCACAGGGAGCAGTGGCACAGGGCGCAGTGGCAAAGGGCGCAGTGGCAGAGGTGGCCGCAGTCCATGGGGTAGAGTTGCAGAGAGCAGCAAATTTGAGGCAGCAGCCAAGGAGCTTCAGCAGCGAGAGTGCAGCATCAGGGGGAGTACCAACAGCAGAGGTAGAGCAGAAGCAGAGGGAGTACCAGCAGCAGAGGTAGAGCAGCAGCAGAGGGAGTACCAGCAGCAGAGGTAGAGCAGCAGTAGAGAGAGTACCAGCAGCAGAGGGAGTACCAGCAGCAGAGGTAGAGCAGCAGCAGAGGGAGTACCAGCAGCAGATGGAGTATCAGCAGCAGAGGTAGAGAAGCAGCAGAGGGAGTATCAGCAGCAGAGGTAGAGAAGCAGCAGAGGGAGTACCAGAGGTACTACCAGCAGGGGTGGGTGCAGAGGCAGAGGGAGTACCAGCTGAGGGAGTGCAGCAGCAGAGGGAGTGGCTGCAGAGGGAGGGGGAAAAGTGAGCGAGTGAAGAGCCCGGATGAGCAGAAGACAGGGAAGCACTGGAGAGTAGGGTGCTGGTGTGGTCAGAGCAGCTGCTGGGTTATTGGTGCAGCAGAGCGTAAAGATGCTGAGACAGTTACGTTTCTATTAGGGATTTTTAGATGATATCATGCTGTAATTGTGCTTAAATAATGACTACTACGATTTCAGCTTAGGAGAAATAAAATAATAGTAAGACGTTATATAACAAAGTACAGGAAATGGTTGTACATTATTTCAATTAATGACCACCATTCCACGTGGTTGGATGCGCAAAGTGCGGGTGACAACAGTGCGAAATCGGGATGTAATACGCTTGAACTCCGCTGGAAATACGGCCCTGAAAACAGGCGCAGTTACGCCTGTTACGCATGAGAAGAACAGGCATGGCAGTGCCATGATTTCAGACGGAAATCGACCCCGGTTTGCAGTCCGTTTTCAGCCTGACGTCCAGAACACAGCCTGTACACAGGCTGATTTCCCGGCCTGTAGTTTGCGATGGCATTGAAGGGGAACAACCGCGCGGTGTTTCCCTCGTCAAATTCTCTTTCGGCGGCCGAAAGCCACGCCGCTGGCGAAGCGGCCGCATGGCGCCCTGCCGCGCTTGCTTTAGTGCGCAGCCCGCACGCGGCGATGGTGCGCCACAAAGCGACCGCGTCGATAGACATGGAAGAGCTTTGGGCAGAGGTGAGTTTCGAGGAAAGCGCGCCGTCGCCCACCTCCGCCGCGGCGGCGGCGGGCCGGCGGAAGGGCCGCGGCGGCGGGCACGCGCGGAACATCTCCCTCTCCGACTTCCGCTCGCTGCGCAGCGCGCTCGTCAAGGAAAAGGGGACTCCGACGCGGAGTCGCACCACCGATGATAACCTCGAAGGTTCCGCCACTGCCAGTGATCTCTATACTAAGACTCAGGAACAAGAGGGCGACCCGGCGGCGGCGGTGCCATCCCCCCGACGCCTCGGGCATGCGCTCGCGCGCATATTCTCCGGCCGCCGAGGAGATCCCGTCGCCAGCGCGGCTTCCGCCGACTCGGATCCCCTTAAAGTTGTGTCAGCCGCCGCCGACGCTGGCTGGTCGGCGCAATCAATCCGCGGCGGCTTCCCGCGCTCCTCGTCTGTAGGGCGGGTGCCATTATCTGGTTTCGGCGGAATGAGCGGCGCTGCTGCCGCCGCCGCCACCGCCGGGGGGGCATTTGCGCTCTCGAAGACTGCGCCGACTCGTGCTACTCCGCGCTCTCCGCGCCGTCCTCCGCAGAACGACAGCCTGAGGGGCGCCGCCGCCCCCGGCGTGCCCCCCAAGTCCCCGCGTTGGCGCGGGCCCGGGCCCGCCGCGGCGGCGGCAGGCGCCGCCGCTGCCAATGGGGGGGAAGACCGCGTTGCGCGGAGGAGAAGTTTTGGCGGAATGGAGCCGCCGGCGCCGCCGGCGGTGGTGGTTGTCCGGGGGATATCACGAGGGAACGAGAGCGGCGCATCGCCGCAGCAGCACCAGCAGCAGCAGTCGCACGAGCTGTCGCGGCGAGCGTCGTCGCTACCGTCGCACGCGTCGCCGTCGCATAGGCGATGCCGCAGCTGGGGAGGGGGGCAGCAGGAATCGTCAAGGCTGGAGGTAGAGTGGCAATCTCTGCTGAGCCAGCTTGAGTCAACTTCGGAAGTTGAGAACCCATTTAACACCTTAGATACCACACCTACCACTGGTCCAGTTATTACTACTGTTACTACTAGTAATACTAGTTCCACAACCACTGCTGCTGCTGTTAGAACATCCCAAAGGTATAGTCGCTTGGCAATCACCGCAGGTACCCTGCCGGATATTAGCGACCCCGAGGCGGAAGGATCTGGGGAGGGGGAAAGATCTGGGGAGGTGGAAGGATCTGGGGAGGCGGAAGGATCTGGGGAGGCGGGAGGGTATGGGGAGGCGGAAGGATCTGGGGAGGCGGAAGGATTTGGGGAGGCGGAGGATTGGGAAGCGGGGGCCGAGGGGCTTGAGATTGCGCTGGTGGGGTCTTTCCGGGAAATGGCGCACCCGTGGCGAGTAGAGAGTCTAAGTGGCGACATGGGGGCTTTAGAAGCAGAGGCCGCTGCGCTCGCTCTGCCTACATCCGGAGATATGGAAGCAGAGGCGGGCGCATTGGTGGGGTCTTTCCGGGATATGGCGCAGCCGGGACGAGTGGATAGTAGCCTTGGGGGGGATATGGGGGCGTTAGAAGCAGCGGCTGCTGATGTGGCAATGCCGGATGGGAGTGGTGAAAGCGAAGGAGGGGAGGGGGAGGAAAGGCGGGATACGCGATTTAGATTGGCGAAGGGAGCTCGCGAATTGGCGCGAATAGAGCGTCTGAGTGGCGGCAAGGGGGTTGTAGAAGCAGAGGCAGCAGCAGCAGCAGAAGCAGCAGCAGCAACGGAGCGTAACAACAACATGCCACCACAGCATTTACTCTCATTGCAGGCTTTACCATCATTGCAACCGTTGGATCTAGAGCCATCTGACGACCACCAAGCCACCACTGCAGAGTCACCCAGCCAACAGTCACTAGATGCTGCAGGCAGATCTGCCGGCCAATCACCTGGCCAATCACCTGGCCAATCACCTGGCCAATCCCCATGCCAATCCCCAGGGAAATGTCCGGGTCACTTGAATCAACAGCGGTCCGGGCGGCGGGTGCAGTTTAGTGAGGTGGTGAGGGTCAGGCGGGTGTTGGTCCCCTCTCACAGCACTGACTCCGCCGGACCTGCTGCCGAGCCTTCTCCTGAGCCTGCCGCCGAGCCTTTTCCCGAGCCTGCTGCAAAGCCTGCTGCTGCGACTTGGAATGTTGGTGCTGGTGTTGGCGTGGTGCCCAGAGAGAATGCTAGGAGTGCTGCTGACAGTGGTGACGCTGTGCTGACGACTACTGTTGCTGCTGCTGCTGCCAGTACCGTTGCTAATGCTGCTAACGTTGCTGATGCTCCTAATGCTGCTAAAGCTGACACTGCTGATGCTGCTAAGGCTGATGCTGCTAGTGCTGATGGCGATGCTGCTTCTGCTGATGCTGCTGGTTCGCTGCCCCAGGCCTTAGCTGATCCAGTAACCTTACCTGGCACCGAGCAAGGCACAGAGGTCGAGGAGAAGCAAAGTGCGGAAAAACAGGCAGAGGAGAAGGAAGGCGGCTGTAGGCACGCAGCCACACTCCCAGAACAAGAGGCCGGCTCCCGTGCTGCACATGAGCCGACTAACGTGCCTCACCTCACTCATGCAGCTCCTGCAATCGAGGAGAAGGAAGGCGGCTGTAGGCACGCAGCTGCACCCCCAGAACAAGAGGCGGGCTCCCGTGCTGTAGATGAGCCTACTAATGCGCCTGAAACCACTCATGCAGCTGCTGCAATCGAGGAGACTGCTTTTGCCAGAGCAGATCCCACTGATCCTCCCCTCGTGCCCATCCTATCCCCATCCCCCCTCCCATCCCCATCCCCCTCCCCCCTCCCATCTCCTTCCCCCATATCATCCTTAAACCCAGCATCATCCACCCTCCCTTCCTCTTCCACCCTCCTTCGTTCCTCCTCAACCCCTCGCAAGCTCCTTTCCTCCCTCGCTCGTTCCTTCTCCTGCTCTCGTTTCGGGCACCTCATCTCTCCCCTCCTCTCTAGCCCCTCCAAGCGTGGTATGGAGGTGGGAGTGAAAGCGTTGGAGTCGACGCAAGGGTCACCACCAGGCAGTAATGGTTATGTATCGGGAGTAGGCTTGGGAGTCGGTTCGGAACTGTCGAAGCAAGTGCCTCGGTCCTTATCTGCAGTGGAAGCTGGTCAGCTGAATTCCAAGGCGAGACAGAAATGGATGAGGGTGTTGCGCTTCCCAAGAGCGGTGGTGCTGGGTGGAGGGTCGAAAGAGTGACCTGAGTGATTTGTAGGTGTTGGCTGTTGTTTTACTTGCTTAAAGCCATGTCCCTGGTGTCGAAATTTGTGTACTCCATACCATACATACTACATACATTTTCCATGATAAATAAAGACGCGATATTAGGGTGCATTCCTACAAGCTACGGCAGTTCAGCATTCGTCATTTTGGTGTAGGTTCCTCATGTCAAACATATATTTGTATGTTACTATAGGCTAGATAGGTGCGTATTCTTAGAGAGTACAACCCCTTAGCACAAAACCACCGTGTGTCCCATATTCTAGTCACTTCGCTACTTTGATATGGTATCACGCTAGGCTAGGTCCTCCCCGCCCACCCGCGCTTCCGCCCTAGCCCTAGACCTAGTTGCCCGTAGCTAGCCGGCCGTACCTAGCTGCCCGTAGCTGCCCGTCGCCTAGCGCCCGCTAGCCCTGCGCCCGCATACCCCGCACCTGCTGGCCCCGCATTTGCCGCCCCCGCGCCCGCCAGCCCAGCGCCCGTCGGCCCCGCGCTCGCCAGCCCCGCGCCCGCTAGCTCCGCGCCTGCTGGCCCCGCACCCGCTCGCCCGCGTTCGCTGGCCCCGCTTTTGCCATCCCCGCGCCCGCTGGCCCTGCATTCTCCAGCCCCGCGCCCGCAGGCCCGTGCCGGTCGGCCCCGCGTTCGCCAGCCCCGCGCCCGCCGGCCCTGTGGCTGTCGGCCCCACGCTCGCCAGCCCGCGCCCACTGGCCCCCCGCCTGTTGGCCCCGCACCCGCTCGCCCCGCGCCCGCTGGCCCCGATTTCGCCAGCCGTGCACCCGCTGGCCCCGCGTTCGCCAGCCGCCCGCAGCCAGCCCTGTGCTCTCCGGCACCCCGCGCTCGCCGGCCCCTGCGCTCGTCAGCCCTGCGCCCGCCGTCCCCTGCCCCTCCTGGCCCTGCACCTGTCAGCCCCGCGCCTGCTGGCCCAGCGCCCGCCAGCCCTGCGCCTGCTGACCCCGTGCCTGCCTGCCCCGTTGCCCCGGCCCTGCACTCCCGCCGACCCCACCGTCGGTCACCGCTCCGCCAGCCGCAGCTCCGCCGGTCCCAGCCCGCCCCGGCCCTTCCTACCGCTGAGTCGAGCTGACCCACCGGCCTTGGCTCCTCCTCTGAGCCGGCGCTCCCGCCGGCAGCCTCCACCGCACTCCACCACTCTTCATCGTACTCCACCGCACTCCACTGCACTCTACCGCACTCCACCATTCCCCATTGCACTCCACCGCACTCCACCGCTCTCTGCTGTCCTCCTCCACTTTCCCTCCTCCCCTTGTCAGCGGCAGTCAGCTGCTGTAGCTGTGGTGATGGCGGACTCTCTGCTCCACCTGGACACGGAGGGTCGAGCCGTTGAGTTTGAGGCGTGGCTCGTCGACCTCCGCCGCCAGCTGACCGGGCAGCGCCAAGACGGCCACTCCCTGGCCGTCCATGTCGATGGTAAGCTCCCTCGCCCCGCCCCGCCTGCTGCCCTCCCTGGCGCCCCCACGTCTGCTGAGCATGAGGCTTTTGTCGCTGCTGAGCTTGCCTGCGCTGTCTGGGATTCGCGCGACGCCGTTGCTCAGCTTGCCATTAGTCACGCCCTCCCCCTGTCTGAGCGTCCCCGCTTTACCACTGTAGCGAACGCCAAGGAATACTTAGATGTCGTCATCGCACGCTATTCCACCCATGAATCTACCTCTGCCGACCGCCTGATCCTTCCCATGATGTTCCCCGACCTTGCGTTCTTTCCCACTGTCGCTGGCCTTGCCACTCACCTCCGCGCACTAGAGACTAGGTATCGCGCTGCTAGCATTGAGGCACAACTCATTGCCTTTCCTGCTGCCACTCTATGCTACCCTTTCCCTCATTGCCACACGCCTGCCTCAGCACCCCGGTGACCTCACCCTCACTGCCTTTATCACCGCTCTGTCCATGATAAAGACCCGCCAGCGCACTATCGCTCAGTCTAGCGGTACTGCGCCGGTCCCTATCTTCCAGGGTTGTGCCTTCTCCAGTGCACTTACGCTGACGTTTCTGTCGCTGCTGCTGAGACTGCCGCCGCGGCCTCAGCGCAGCAGCATCAGGGCAGGGGCCGCCGCCCCAAGGGGGGGCGTGGCAGAGGGAAGGGTGGTGAGGGTGGTGGAGGTGGGGGCGGGGACGGTGGTGCTGACAAGGGGACCGAGGCTGGTGCCCCAGAGCCGCAGCAGCCGCAGTCTCAGCAGTAGCAGCAGCAGCAGCCTCAGCAACAGCAGCAGCCGCCGTGGGGACCCCCGCTGTGAGAGTACGACCCCGTTCCATTCCTTTCTCCTTTCCATTTCATTCCTCTTTCCATCTTGATCCATTTGGTTTTTATCTCATTCCATTTGGATTCCTATTTCTCCTTTTCCATAAACCTTTGGTTTATCCTGTTATTATCATTATATCACCGACCAGGCTCGGGATGTACTGGTGCGCTATATCTAGCGTAATCCTGCCGTAATCCCTTAAAGCCAATAACCTCGCGTGGCTATACGCAGGGTGATTCTATTTTTTAGAAGGGTCTATTCCCTTAAGATAAGATAAACCTGGTTACCTGATGTACTTTGGAAGTATAAAAGCGCCTTGTACTGATCGATAGTGCAACCTTTCTTCGAGACATTCGATCGTGTGACACCCGCCGCCGTAGTGACCTAGTGGTGCTGGTGGTGGTGGTCGTGGTGGTGCCCCGAGCAGCTCGGTACTGGGTGGCGGCTTCGGTGTAGCCACCTACCAGTACCAGCTTCAGACCGGGCCCCGCCGCGGCACCGTCTGCGACCGTCCAGGTCACACCGCCACCTACTAATACCGCCGCCTCGACGACCTCTACCATCTCCGCTTTGGTCCCACCTCGGACCCTCCTTATTGGTATGCCCTAGCCCGCCGCCGTGTGCCTGTCTTTGAGCTTGACATGGATAAGATTAGGACGGCTATGTATGTATGCTGATGACTCTAGTGTGACTGGACCTTATTACCCTGTGTTGCTTAGTATATGTGTACCTCCAGTGTGTAATCCAAGTTCCCCTGCTGCGTCAAGTGTAGGACCTCCTGCCTTGTTTAGCTTAGGCTCTACGCTAGCCCCCCCGGCCAGTTGTCGCTACTGCGGATGCTATTGCTTTTCTCCCTTTCACGCTCGACCTGTAGCGTGTGCCTGCTTCTTCCGCGACCACACTTCACTCGCGCCGCTTGCTGCCCCTACCGCTGTAGCACTTAATGACCCCTCCTTAGGCCCGGTAGTTGCACGTAGCTCAACTACCCTTCCCTGTCCGGCGGTTCCCTCGGGCTCTCTTACAGGCTTCGACATCCCCTCGTTCTCTAGGAACCTAGTTGGTGTCGGCTGTCTTCAGGACCTTGGCGTCACCACTACATTCCCTGGACATGAGCAGTAAGCCGTCTGTACCAGGCCGCTACTGGTGCCCCTCTTACCACGTTCCTCTGAGACCCCGTGTCTGGCCTGTTCACGCTGGACACTGCGTCCCCCCCAGTCGGAGCGTCCCCCCAGGTCGCCGCGTCCTCTCAGGTAGATGCAGCCTGCTCACGTCGGTCGCTCACCCACCCTTCACTGCTGTGGCACCACCACCTAGGTTACCCTGCTCTCCCGCATCTGCGTCACATGTCCCATCACGGGCTTGTCCGTGGTCCCATCCACGTCTAGGGCTGCGTTTCTCACGTTCGTGCCTCTGGTACGGACAAGCTCACTACCCGCACCGTCCCCTATGTCTTCCTTGGTTTCCCCCTCGACGGGTTTGATTGGCACTTTTACCACCCGTCATCTCACCTCTTCTTTCATTCGCATGACGTCACTTTTGACGAGTGTGTCTCCTTCTACACCCGCTTTCCCCACTGAGGTCTCCTGGTTTCCTTGCCCCTGTTTCTGGTTCCCACTCCTCCGGTAGCCCCTGCTCCTCTCCCTCCCCGTTCTACCCCATCTAGTGTATCTCATGTCCCTCCTCTCCCGTCGGTTGTCCCGGTTGAGGAGTTGGCTGACTTTGGTGGCCATGCAGCGCCGTTCTCGCCGCCTGTCTCTGCCCCGGTGTCTCCTCTTCTGTCGTCGCAGCAGCCACCGCTGTCGCCGCCGTAGCAGCAGCCGCAGTCGCCGCCGCCGCAGCAGCAGCCGCCGTTAGGGTCCGTGAGCTCTAGGGATGCTCGTCCTAAGTTCGTCTCGTGGCTTGTCCCGGTGGTCCTGGGGGTGGCACCGGTGCTAGAGAGGGTTCTCGTTCTGGGGGTTCTGGTTCTGGGGGTGCTAGTCCTGGGGTTACTGTCGTGCTTGTCCTGACGGTCCTGGGTGTGACACCGGTGTTGGAGAAGGTTCTCGCTCTGGGGGTGTTGGCATGGAGGGTCTCTGAGGTGGCCGTGGTGCAGCTCGAGGTTCTGGTGTCAGCGTAGGGCAGCAGCAGCAGCAGTACTTGCCGTCGATTTTCACCCTTTGCCTCCTCGGTCTTCCCTCTCCTGACCACCCACCTATACCTCCCCCGTCGCCGCCTCCACTGCCTGCCTACGGCAGTACGAGCTAGCTTTCCTGTCTGAGGCCGCACCTCATCTCTGCTCCGTGCTGCTAGTCCCTGAGGGTGACCCAGACGCCCTTGACATCCCGACCCCTCGCACTTATGCTGAGGAGACGTCAGGACCCTGGGCCTCTCAGTGGAAAAGTGCCATGGACGTGAAGATGGCATCTTGGAGATCCACCGGCACCTACATCGACGCAGTTCCCCCATCTGGGGTGAACGTGGTCGATGGCCGATGGTTTTTCAAATTGAAGCGCCTTTCAGAAAGCCGCCGGTGTTCAAGGCACGTTACGTAGCTAGAGGCTTCAGTCAGCGTGAGGGTGTTGATGTCTTTCAGACCTTCGCCCCGAATATGACCACTCTTCGGGCATTGCTGCACGTAGGGGCACAGCTTGACTACGAGCTGCACTCCCTCGACTTCTCAACTGCGTTTCTCCAGGGCAGCCTGCACGAGCAGGTCTACCTGCGTCGTCCGCCCGAGTGGCTCCTCCTGTGCTTGGTTTACGGCCTGCGGCAGGCGCCTTGTGAGTGGCACGACACGCTGCGTGCGACGTTTGCTGACCTGCAGTTCTTCCCGTCGTCTGCAGACCCCTCGCTCTTCGTTCGTGCTGGCCAGACCCCG